GGGCCTTGAGACTACCCAGAAACATCCCACATGACTCAACGCTGCAGGAATGACAGCAGCGCGAGGGTCGCTGATGAAGGTCCTCTGCGTCTCTATTCAACTCCTCTCCTCTCTCCGTTGCTGTCCTTCTGGCTTCTCCAGCATCGTGCATTCTCGACTATTAGATCATCTTTAACTTGCACTTATTATACACAGTGTTTAAGGGCCTTGCTCAAGGGCACCTCAACAGTGGTAATGAGGGAGCAGCAAGTGGTGCTCTTTATAATCCAAACAGATTCAATCTGGGCAGGGCTAACACATCATTGGCTAACCTTTAGGCCGCCGGCGGGTCGGCAGGTTGCACCTTGCATGGTAGCCCCTAGCATCAGTGTATGAATGGGTGTGAATGGCTGAATGATGACATGCAGTGTTTGAGCACCTCGAGTGGGGCACGAGCACAAACCATTTGCATTACGTTAACAGACCAACAGGGTGAGCGAAGAGGGCACAGAAGTGTACGTCCATGACAATGCATTTATCTGTCTATTTATCTATCCATCATCATCATCATCATCATCATCATCATCAACATCATCGTCTCATGAAGCATGGGAGGACCTCATTCCAAACAGACTGTAGGGGGACATTGTTGTCACATTCGAATAGAATCGATAGTGTTACTTTTGTCTATCGCATTTTGGTCCCTAACATTTCTCTGGAATAAACCAATTTAATATTTTGAAAAATGAAAATAGTCAAATTTAAAGATATTTAACGCAAGCATGTGAAAAGGATTAGTGTCCGTAATCTTCCTTCAAAAATCCTTGTGCACACTCACACGAACAAAAACACACACACTAGAAGGAATGTCGTGTGTACCGTGAGTGGGAGTTGAGGTCAAACATCAGTATCAGGGACTGTGTTAATGTATTCAAGTCCTATAGACGCTGAGTCTATTTAACAGTAGTGCAATTCATCCCGATACTAAAGACGACTTGCATAAAAAATGGGGGTTTTGACGTACGTTTCAAAGTGTTTAAGACGCAGGTCAACTTGCAGTCATGCCCCGTGTTTCCTCGAGAGGTTGTGCATTCAGTGTTTGTAAGAACGCAATAGATGTTTTTAGAAATATTTCAATTGGTTACTCCTGGTGCTGAGAGAGAGAAACTAAGCAACCTGTTCTTAAACAACTAAGGAACGACCTAGTACGCATTCACAGAACAGCATGTAACTTTTATTAGCGCAATAATAATAAGGAGAATGATAAAATAAAGATCACTCTCAAACACTTCCCAATGTTCCACTACACTTAATATACTTTATCCTCGCCTACTTAGCCACAATCGTTAATTCATTTATATTTCAGCAACCCAATAATCAGACTAATTTGAACGTCCGATTAAACTATGAATCAATTGAATAATTCAAACAATACGTTTCAATTACAAAGTGAGTTTCAAGGGGCTCCCCAGGAAAAGGACCTGCCCTCGTCCTCATGGTTTCCTTTGCCCCCAAAGGCCTTGTACACTGTGTAAGGGGTAAACATTAAAATATTCATGCATCAATTAAATCTGAAGAAATGAATCTAATAAATATAATCGAACGAAGCTATTAAAGGCTCTTCAACACCAGCAGTTATTATAAGGATAAATCCTGCTGCACCATTATGTTACTGCAGTAGTACCAGTAAGTATTTAGCCTTTTAGAAGCACCTGCTGTGTTTAGCATTGTATGCCTTCATTATTATTAGTCCATCTCTAAGTGCTATTTTTAATTAACTGATCAATACCTCATTTCATGAGAAGCTTGAAAAGGTAATGATTCTACTAAAAAATTATTTTACAAATGCCTACTTTCTCTTTTTAAGGGTCAGTGCACCCAAACAATTGCTTTCAATGCAACAAATGGAACTTATTTGTTCTACGCTGTTGAACGAACAACCAGGACGTTTTTTCGGGTGATTTTTTCATTTTTCTTTTAGCATTGCAGGTAAACTTATATTCAGCATCAGAGTTTCACAACTGTCCGCAAAACATTGGCACATGCAACCGATACTATCATGCATGGCTAGATATGGCAAGGGGAGGAGACATGTTTTTCTGCTTTGGGTGATTTTTATATTTGTGTGAATTGTGTCCTGAAAAGTGTTTTGCCATCACTGAAGCACTGATTATTCAACCACAATAATGTCAGTTCTGCTAAACCCCAAAGATAATTTTCCTCGCTGTAAACTCTGCCAAAGTACCTCCGGGCAAAACACTCCTGTTCTGCTTAAGGCCTCTAGGTTCACTGCTCTTGACTGACCCTTGACATTTGCAAAAATATTGTAATTATGAACATAGATAACCATCTCAGAGATTAACAAGAGTTTGCAACGATCCAACCCCATGCGTCAGGTTGCCGCTGCCTAAAAGCTTTGCTATGATGTTCCAAAAATATATTTTTAATATGGAAAAGCCCATAAAAGGGCCTCGCATGCCCAGGGACACACTGTCTTGTCCGGAATCTGAAGCAGTGTAATTGCCCCCCGCCTCCCTGAACCCCAGATCCGTCTTTACAGCTTGCATTAGCATACATAATACTGCTCTGTGGACTCAAGGAGTCATGCCAATTGAAACGCAATCATTTTCACAGCAGAACCCTGCCACCGCTTCTTTAATTGAGCGGGGTTCCGCTTGTGTGTGTGTGTTTGTGTGTGTGTGTGTGTGTGTGCATGGCTCTGTATCATGAGACAGGGGATAATTGCTTTTGTAATACAACATAGCGATATGTTGTTAATTCAATGATAGGACTTAATTGCTTTTGTCTAGTTGTATCCCCCTGTGTTTAGGATGTTTAGGATGAAAAAATCGAAGGCGCTAACTGCAGGACGATAACTGCTGGGCACGTCCCTTCAGACAGTCTGCACTGTACGTCTACCAGTTCCTCACTCACAAACACACACATGCAGCACACACACCCACATACTGTGCACAGAAACGCTGTAATTATTTCGATGCTATAAAACAGCAATAAAATCTTACAATAAAGATGAGCATTGCACTTGAAATGACTGTCCCACTGTTCAGTGACGACGGACCCCAATTATCATTATCTGTGGATTGCTTTTTTCAAATTGCAAAGTGGTAAAACGGAGACAATGCCACATTTTAGATTAAAGCGATGCCATGTTTGATTTTATATCTCTACATCATCTCTGTCCCCGAGCATTTTAGTTACAGTACGTGGCTGCAAAGCAACAAGATAGGCGTCACATTCAATAGATATTACAACTGTACAATATGTTTCTGTTACATTAAACAAAAACGATGGTGTATCATTTGTTGACTAATTGTCCTTTAACCTTAATCTTGAATGTAAATGTAACCTTTATTCCAACCTCCCACCCGATCAGGATTCAAACCTACAAAAGGCCACACACAGAACAAATGCACCGCCGTCAATCCCATATTGAGTCCTTTTTGCACCGGAAAGCACCAGATGAGGATCTTAAATGACCGATTGACATAATAGAACAGTAATTTCCACATACGGTGGACAAACCAAATACCTCTCTAATGAAGATCAGGGTTGAGTGTTCTTACTGGCTAATTTATCTCAACATCAGGGAGAGCCTGCGGGGACAAAGGGATTGAATTATGAGTGTGTGTATTAATGGCAGGGCCGCCAATTAGCCCCAAAAAGACAAACGGCATTAATCTTTGGAACTGGTTACCAACTATTCACGTCGGAATGGCTAAATGCTACGCTGTCGGCGAGAGAGAGATTGAGGGAGCAGCAAGGTTGATCTGTGGATAACTCAAACAGAGACTCACTTTAATATTCCTATTTCCACCCCGTAACGCCTCAGAATGTATCTGTGTTACTTTTATTATTTTAAAATCCATGATAGTGTTATTTTTTTAGAACACCAATTCAGTACCAAAGATATCCTTTATTTTTTCAATATTTAAAATTATGGCTATTGTGATGACAGTAGTTCAAGGGGAGTCTTGAGGGAGGAATATCAAATCAATACACACTATTTAATCAATGCATATCTTGTGTGTGACTATCAGTGAGCAGACTCTGCAGGAGCCTGATGCTTATGTCTCTGGTGAGGGACTGCCGCTCTCTGGTGTAATGGTGTAACTACAATGTGGCGAGATGAGAAAGACAAGATCTGAAATGGGTTGAAATAAAATTTGGACAAATGCATGGCTCACACCAGATAAAAACCCCGATCTGTCTTTTTCCATGTAAAAAAGCAGCATAGCCCCTTTAGGTTACAGCCCTCCTTTTCAAATAAGAGTGTAGATGAACAAATCAAACAAAAACAAAAACAAAAGTACAGCAGACGTTAGTAGTAGATTGCAATAAAGAAATGTAATTCCTGCATATATTTAAAACCTTTGTAGACGGTTTGTAGAAGGACACAAAATATCAGCAAAAGAAATAAATTCTTAGTGAAAGTGTATGGATTAAAAAGTCTTTATTGGCATGCTCATCTACAAATATTGTGTAGTGTAGTTTCGTTAATTTATGAATGAAAGTTAGAACGTTCTGTCACAACGATGTTGTGACGTATCATCGCGCTTTTATTAGTGGGTATACGGAGATCCTTGACTTTTCCTAGTGGGTATACGGCGTATACCTGCGTATCACGTAGACTACACCACTGGATCGTAGTAAATCTGAGCTGTAATCAAATATTGGGTCCGTTCCTTCCCCGCTAGAGGGCGCTTCTTCCAAGGGAGAAGGATATTACACGTCACGTGATCATTCATCCGCCAAATTTGAATAGTGTTTTGTTTTCCACTTTTTGTTCCCACCATAACTAATAAAAGTTGGATCAATTTTCATGGTTGAAGTTTGTTGTATTGGAACTTTAAATGTACTATTCTTGTAAAAACGTGTTGTATTTTTCAATTAAAAATGAAAGCGAAAGCATTGCAATAATCAAAGAAAACGATCCGTGTCCATGAACGAGGGTTTTATTGTGAAAGTTTAAACCGGAGGTAACTTTTTTCTAAGCTTCTTGACGTTGTTACCTTAGCAACAATAGCTATGGACCTACCGTTTAAATACTAAAGAGTTGAGTAACTTAAGCATATGGAGAGGAGGAAACAGGTTTGAGTTTAACGATTTCAAAAGCACACACACACATTCTCATTCTGCTCGTTTTGAGGCTTCGTGGTTACTATCATTTTTGTAACAATGCGACGTTAACGTTAACATTAAGTTACATCGACTAGCGTGCCCGGTCTTCGGTCTTCTCTAACGTTACGTTGCCGTTACATTCCTTAACGTAACGTTACACCGCAACGTCACCGTCATGCTAAACCGACCCAACGCCACTTTAATCTGTGGCCGCCGGGCAACATCAGAAAAGTCCACATTATCCGCACGGTAGATGAAACGAGCACGGAGTGACATCCACAAGCACGGTGGCTAATGGTCTAATGGCTGCGAGCTAGCTAACGCTACAACATGTCGCTGTCCTTTAGCTTCCGGAAGACGTTCACGTCACCCCAACAGCCAGCGGCGATGGTGAGTGCACCTCACGCAGGTTCCCTTATTCATATTCCATCACCCAGACTGATGCGACGGGTGACGTCATCTCTCTTTGTTGCTGTCACTCCAGTGAAATGGGTATAGTGCACAGTGATCTTACCACAGACCGCAGAGGTCTGCTTGATAAGTCCAACCTTGTGTTTGTTTCTTCACGTTCAGAGGCCGCACGAAGGTGCGTTTGGGTCAGCAGATCCAAACGGCCGGGCCGAGAGTTGAAATGCTGCAACACGGCTTTGCGTGAGCTCTTCAAGACACTCAGTAACCACCCTGACCTGTAAGTCTTAACGAGATCACCCCCTACAAATACCATTTTCCACGTACCTCTTTTGAGTGTTATGCATTGATATTAATGTCTATCTGTCTCTCCTGAGGTTCGGCAGTGATCGTGGTCTGCAGGTGAGTAATGAGGACCTGAGTGGGGACTCTGCAGCCGCCTTGCTTCACGATTCTCAGGCGCACTTCACAGAAACGGGTGCGTGTTGTGTGTCCCGGCACTAAGGTGACCAGTGAAAGAGCTCGCCACCTAATTCAGTGTTAAAAGCGAATTGATCGACTTTCTATGCAACCGCTGCTGTAGATGAATAACATGCCCACGGGCTTTTCCCTCTGTCACACCTCGATTTGTTCAGATGTGACCCTGCCCTCCTGTCTGGATGACAGCTCTGGGTCCCAGGAATCACACGGGGAATCACAGCGAACTCGCCGACCTTCTGACTCATGCCGGTCCTCTTCCTTAGTGCTGGCAACGGTGTACCAGGAGATGATGACCATCTACGAACAACTAAAGGTGAGGAAGGAGAACAGCTGCAATGGTGGTTTATCGCTTAAGACAGGTGGCAGGGATATAATCCTACTTGGCTCAGATAAGGAATGTTCGGTAGTAATTATTGTGTAGCAGTATCAATGTTTGTATGTGTGTTTATGTGTATATAGGCGCAGCGGTACAGCCAGCAGCGGTGGGAGAGGGAGCTGCAGCAGCGAGAGAGGAGGTTGAAGCAGCAGGAAGAGGAGGCCGTTTTGAGGCTCGCCGGGATGGAGGAGATGCTACACACACGTTTACCAGCTGAAGAAGAGGTCCGACCCACATCTGGTCACTTAATGATTAATCATAAAGCTAAATTGTTGGTGATATTGGTTTGATATACAGTATGTAAACGTGTGTGTTTTGTGTGTTACCAGAAACACCAGCAACAGGTGAGCCAGCTGCAGGAAGTTCTTCGAGAGAAGTGCAAGGAGAACCGGAGGCTCAAGTGCAGCTTTGACACCATCAAGGAGCTGAATGAGGGCATGAAGAAACAGGTGGGAAGTGACCACATCCAAGCCACCATTGTCTGATTGCGTTGTGTTGGCTGTGGCTGAAATGTGGTAGAAATTAACAAGCGTTTATTTTGACCAACAAGTCTGAATTTTAAAGTTATTTTGTCTGAATAAATGTCTTAATTTGTATCAACGTCTTGAAATCATCTATTGGTTGTCTATGTGCCTGAACATCACATTACAACAGCTACATTTTTTGCTTTAGGGGAAAATATCCAAGTGAAAACCTGATATCAACTTTTTTTTCAAGAACCAGCAAATATTTGAGTGGAATTTTCTCTCTTCAAATCTAAAGTGACCAAAGTGATTAAATATTCAGTGAAGGAGCAGAAGGCCGGGAGCAGTTATTACTTTGGACCACTGGGAGGCGCTATGACACAACCCTCCTGGATGTTGAATTATCAGTCAAAAAAAATCACTGAGTTTTGAGATTTTTGTTTTTAGTGAAAAGCCCTTAATGCTTCAAAAAGTGTGCGGAAACAAATTCTATGCTCTGAACAAAAATATCAAGTAACTGTTTTTCCACGCTCGGGGCTTGCACAGCAGATTGACATTTAGCGTTTCAATATCTACAGTTGAATGAAGTCAATGAACAGAATAAAAAGTTGGAGAGCCAATCCAAGCGGGTGCAGGCTCGACTGGAGAACCTGCAGGTAAGCCCCTACTAACAAACGCACAAGTCATCAGTGATAATTCAAAATAATAATGAAAAGCATTTCTTTATTGTAGCAAAAGTAAATTGTTTTATTGCCAATATGTCTTTTATTTTTTTGATTTTTTTGTTATTAATTGTTTTTGGGTTTTTTCAGAGGAAATATGAGCACAGCACAGCACATAGAGTCCTGCCAAAAACAAGCGTCAAGAGCACAGTGTGTAATAAAGCATCCAAAAAGGAGACAACCGCTGACTCTGGGAAACCCAGCACAAGGGTATAGTTCATCAGCTGTTGCCTGTGTTTTTATACTTACAATTAAATTTACAGTCAGTCGTTTTCTTACCTAACATGCTGCGACAAGAGTTTGACGGCCCTTCCGTGCGAACCCCACACATGTGACATGATAGATCATAACTGTGATGTTTGCTGTCACTGTTGATGAAGAGGAATCTCAATGGATCTGACCTCAGTCAATACAACTGCCCTCACATTTTTAGGACAGTTTTAAACCCAGACTCTTGAGTTTCTCATTGTAACTCTGTGCAGCACATCTTACAGAAACCAGATGATAAAGGTCTAATTAAATAAACCTTTTAACTAAAACACCGTAATGGCCGCTTTAGTCATAGACTTTCACCCTCTTTCCTTCAGCGCTGCTCCGATCCGACTCGTCCGAAGCTCCTGACCCTTCTGCTAGACTGGGTGGTCGACGGACAGACGTTGTCACCGGCAGCAGGAAGCGGAGGGAAAGGTGTCAGCCGATGCGGCCTGCCTCCTGAGCTGGTTCTGAACGAGAGATGCCTCACGGTGACGCGTTCTCCCCCCGACTTCACTGCCGTCTTATCTATTTTCATTACAACCAGCAGTTCGAGTGCATGTCACGCTGTCCCAATCCGAAAACGATCAAGCCGCAGTCAAAGTCACGGATCGTCTCTTTGTGTCCCCCAGGTGCTGCCGTTATTAGCGGATCAGCTTCAGCACGCTCCTTTGTCCGAGGCTGACCTCCTCCTGAACCTCCTCCGCCTCATCCACTGGGCTCTACGGCGCTTGGATAGCAGTACACAGGTAAAGAGAAGACACGATCCGTTCTGTGGCTAAACGTGGCTGCTGCAGAAAGTAGTCCCAGGATGTATCAAAGAACGGTGTCGCTGTTCTGTCTGTGGATCCCGAGGCAAAACCACAACACAGTCCACAGCTACTCTGTATCATCAAACTGCTGCTAAATAGAAAATCATCTTAGCTACAATTAACCAGAGATACAAACAAAAGGGATTCTTCAAGGTCAGTCTTCTCTTTTTAATAAATGATCCGAGTTGTCCAAAAAGCAGCACCACAGAATAGTACATAAAATTAAACGCTATTAATTTGGCAGCCTTCGCCTCCCTCATTTATTGGTTTCTTGGGCTCGTAAGAGACGAGACGTGTTATCCTACAGCAAGCTGCGAGGTCACTTTCAGTACAACGTTGCATCTGAAACCAAAACACGACGCACTGTTTTCCCTCAAGACGTGGCAACACATCGGAGAGGTCCAGCGGGTGATACATCCACTTTCCAGCCGGTGATATCCGCTTTATCGCAGCATGGACGGGATTTAATGTGTGGACGTCCTGTCGAGTTCCAATTTGTGCTCAGCGTGGTTATGCCCCGCCCCTCTCTGTGTGTTGACCAGCCTCTAGACAGGCCGTCCCTGTCTTTGTTGTTGTCGTTGTTGTGGGTCATCATGCACACGATTTAGATATCTGCAGATTACTGCACAGATTCATTGACTCCCTGTCGGGCTGAATTAGTGTTTCATACCCCAGCGTTTGATGAAGGTCGTTGTCGTCATTTTATGACACGGTGACTTGTGGCCGATGTGTGTTTTCAGCACGTAGCCCTCTCTGCCACGCTGCGGCGGATAGGAGAGGAAGCATCGAAGCCTGCTGCCTGGTTAACGGGGCCGGACTCTGAGGAGGCAGACCGGCCCGGGCCCCCCACTGAGGCCGCCGGGGGGGCCTGCAGGACATGGCCTCTCTCCTGCAGCCCCTGTCCTCACACACGCATCCTCTCCACCCTCATCATCCTCCGCACCGTCACACAAGGTACCAACACTGGAAACACATGGGCATCGTAAGCATTCGATTTGGAAAATGATAACTTGGTCACAAAACCTTAGACTAATGCGTCAGATGAGCCATCAATCAATGTGCTATATTTTTATTGTTTGGTAGGTTGTTGGGTCTCTAAAGTGTGGGAAGAATTTAAAAAAATGTAGAGTTGTTGAGCGCATGTTGACATCCTAAATTGTTTGCGTGTTTTGTTGTGATTTTGTTAAATATTAATTTAAGTGAAATTAGATTTTATGTTTAATTTAAGTAATAGAAACGCTTACCAACAAAATGAAATAAATGAATAAATAAAAAGGAAACGGAAGGAGCTCACATTAGATCATCACTGTTGTAAGGAGAATCCTAATTGAAACTAGGAAATGTGATGAATATGATCCCCTATCACTTCCCACTATGCGCCCCCCCCCACCGGTGCAGGTGTGAATCCAAAGGAGCCGCATGGTGTTAAGACCTAATTGCGTGTTGTCTCCTCACACATGCTTTGCTTCCTCTTTCTCCCTCTACATTTAAATCAAAGTTGTCACAAGACTGCGAATGCGACGTCATATTTCATATTGAGGGGAGTGAAGAGATGACTGCAGCCGGAATGTACTTTGATGCACCGTCCTGTTTGTGTACTCCATCTGTTGCAGTTAATGAACCACTGCCGAACATTTTCAATCAGCTTGCCCGAGTGCACGCGGATGATTTAGCCTTCGGCTTTTGAATGAATAGCCATAACATTTTATAGCCATGACATTTTAAACATTTTACGATTATTCCTATTTATCTTAGTGACCACACCCCCAATATTTAGTGCCAACAGGGGATTGATACTCTTTTGAGCTGCCTGTCAGGTTGTCGCCAGGTTAAAATGCATTAGTTCCTCTGGACCTCCTATGTCCATCTCACGATTCTGTTTCATATAGCATTAGTGTCACTCAGCCGCTGGCGCTTCTTCAGGCTCCCGGTGGAAAAGGGCGAGGAGTTTCTAGGTGGCTTCCACACTAAGAACCTTCGTGCGCACATATCCTGACAAAATCGATTAAAACTCTCCTCTGAACTAAGCCTTCATCTGCGCGCCGCTGCTCGAGGGCTCCATCGGTATGTTCCTGTGGAGAATATTTGCTGTCAGTCTGGTGGCCAGCTTCTCTTTCTCACCCGTCCTTTGATTGACGGGAAAGCAGATTGAGTATAATGGGAGAGATATTTCTTCCCGCTTACACATATGCCGGGATCTTACATATAATAGATACCATTCTGAGACGCCGCTAACCAAACTCAATCCGGGAAGAAAAAGAAAGCTTTTATCTTCAAGTCGGGTTGTAAAAATTCATCTATGGACATTTTAAAAGGGTTTGGTGAGAAGCCCAGACATTTTGGAAACCATTAGTGACCACAGTTTATTTAAATTTGCAGGCTAAGTTGTTTCTGGACCTGACATGTTAGTGCAGAAGAATGAAAAACCCTCCATTTGGTCTCATGCTATAATAAATTGAATATATCTGGGTTTTGGTAAACAAGAAATTTGCGGTGGGGATTTTCCGATGTTTTATCGTATAATTAAAGAGTCAAAAAAGTAATCATCAGATGAATTAATAATAAAAATAATTGCAAGCTGCAGCGCTAGATGATTATCCTTTAGCCTATCCTATTATTCTTATCCTAGCATTGTATGACGTGGCTGGTGCGCAGATTATCGTGCAAGCTGAAAGTCTACAAACTCCACTAAAAGACAGGATGGATTGAAAGCTGAATTCAGAACCGCTTCATCTACACTTGTCTCCCCCCGTCCTGTCTCCAGCCGATGTGCTGGCCCAGGCTCTGGAAGCTCTCCGTACCGAGCTGATGTCTGAGGAGAGCCGAGGCCTTTTCATCCACTACGGAGGAGTGTGTGTGCTGCTGTCGGTGCTTCGGGCCGGCCGGGGAGGTCTGCACACACCTGTGGACGTCCTCATGCAGCTGTCTGAACAGTCCCGTGAGTACCAAGCCATAAACCTTGAATGATTGTGAGCCAAAAAAAAAAATTGAAATCCATTTTTCCCCCCTTTGCTAAAGAGGGTTGAGGCCAAAGCCTGATCAGCTGTGGCCGTCAAAGGGGGGAAAAAAAGCATCGTTCATGGTATATTTCTGTCCGCAACCGCTGTGCGCTGCAGTACCAGAGTCAATTAGTCTGTTTGAAGTTTTTCATCCGGTTTTGGTACTTGTTGAAATACTAATATTAAACACAGTAACTTTTAGTAAGCTGTGGAAAGCCGGCTGCCCAAGAACATAATATTGTGAGACATCACTGAAGGAGTCCAAAGAAACTCAAGGTTTGAGAGCTCATTTTTGGGGACTCCACTTTAGCAACTAAAACCGTTTGGTATATTTAAATTCACAGCCTTTCCAGCACCTCACTGGTGACCTAAAGGCGCTCTTTTTTAAATTTTTTTAATTGTACCTTTTTAATTCCCTTTGCCTGAGAAATTGCCTAGAAAAGCTGCTGAGATCACCCTTCTGGCTCCGATTCATCCACTGTCTTTACCACCAGTGTTAACTGTTGTGATTCATAGCAGCTCCTCCTGCAGTGACCCTCCGTATCATCCCTACATAGAAGCCACGTGTGAGAAGGGACGGTTGGTCTGAGCTTACATCAATCATAAGCGCCGGTCACGCAAAACCTGTGTCCTCCATCACCTCCTGGCTCTTTTATGGAGAGCCCAAAGGCTCGATGGAGGCGGACGAGAGGGGGTGGGAGGGGGCCACAGCTGTGGCGTGTTTCCACGGGAGGGGCGACGAGCCGTTTCATCTGAGCTACACAGCCGCGCACTGGAGGGGACTCGGGCCAGAGCTCTGTTTGTGTGTCTGTGAGCACGTACAGTTGTGTGTTTCAAGGAGGACCGTAAGTCTAGCAAGGCCTGCTAATTATTGTGTTTTACAAGCAGTAATGAGGAGAGACGGGTTGAAGGGGGGAAGTGGGGGGGGGGGGGGGGGCACCTGAAGGTTGCCAATAAAACAAAACAAAACGGTTCAGGATTGTACTCACAGAAACACACAGGACGCCTCTGATCTCACTGCCACTCGCTGTACAAAGTGCAGTCGCACAAAACATCGGCACGTTCATGGATCACAGAATGCAGTCGGGGCCTCCTGGGGACACCCGTGCACGCTCCGTAACTCGTAGTGGATCGGGGGGTACGTTAACCGCCAAACTGCTCCTAACCCCCATGGATACACATAAACTTGTGTGTGTGCATTCGTTTGTCTTCTTTCCCCGCTGTGTTGTTGTGTTTTCACAAATACCCTCATTGACCTGGTTAAGCATAAACTTCAGAAAAGAGCTTTTTACCTTTTTGTTTCTAACTGTTGGATGTTTCCAGCAGATCTTGTCAAACATCAAACCCACGTAGGAATGTGCCTGTGTGTGCGTGCGTGCTGCATCTGTGTTGCCACATATGTGTAGAATGTAGCACACATTAAAAAGGTAATGACCCCTCTAAGGACCGGGCTGTGTGGTCAGAGGTGCTTTAAACATTCTTCAGACCCCTGGTTTTAATAAGACACAATATTCGTGTGTGGAAGATTTTGGAAAAATAACCGCGAGGTGTCCAAAAAGTTAAAAAAAAGTGTGTTATTTGTATGGTGTAATACACAAAGTGGTCACGTTTTTTTCATTGCTGAGGAAAATTGGTTTGCCTGGTCAGACTGTTTGACATTCAAAGTTAAACAAGCAAAAATTCAAACCATCCCCCCTGGCGACGTCCTATTTTGATCGGGACAGTTTTTTTACTTAATCTTATTGTGTAAATTATTGGTCAATTGTCAATAATAATTATTCAGCAGATTAATCGAGGTGAATCAACCATTAGCTGCAGACCTACACCTGTTGATCCCTCACATTTTAGCCTGACAGGGATTATGGTCAGCCACAGACTTATAGTTTTGCCGAAAACCACATTGTTTTGCCGAAAACCACAGCAGATGCTACATCTTTAGTTTTCAAAAGTTTGAAAGATTGAGTGTGCCTTTTAGCAGAAAAACAAATAGTAAAAGAGCTTAATTAAGAGATCACACGGTCCATGTTTGCTGTTAGCGTGTGCAGCCCATCCGCGTCGACTGAGGCCTTCGTCCTTCCTCTTTCATCTCCCTGTGTGTTTGTGTGTTTACGGTCAGATGGTGGAAGCTCATCCAAATACAACCGATCAGAGCGAGTCTGACCGTTTGAACTGTGTGTGATGGCTGCAGCGTTGCTGTGCTTTGTTTGTGCACTTTCCATTTCTACGCAAATCTCAAGTTGATCATTCCCATCTCCTCGGGAGTTTTAACAATGAACAAAACATGTGTTGTTTGGCTGATACCCTTCGATCTGTGCTCTGCTTGCGCCTGTGTGCCCGTAGGATACCTGAACCCCTTCCTGGAGGCGTGTAGCTGTGAGGAGTTTTTCCAAACGGCTTCCCAGCTTCTCAAGAACCCTCGTCTGGAGTTCCCGGCGCTGGAGAAGCTCTCCATCCTTCTGCAGAAGCTCTCCAGCATCAGGTAGACGCACTCATTTTAGTGTGCATGAGTCATAATTTGGATATGATGGTCATGATCGTATAAGTATTTATATTCCTTTCCCAGAGAATGGGCGATGGCATTCAGACTGTTGGATCCCTCACATGTATCTTGTAGGAGCTTCTTGAGGATTTCTAGTTTGATTATAGCCTCCATAAAGTTCTCTCTAGTCAGTAGCGGTCGTGTATCTTTAAGTCGTATGAGATGCAGACCCTTTGCTTCCGGACCAAGTTGAGCAGCGTGTATTTCCTGGACTCAACAGGTCGGGCGCGTGTTTTCTCACACATCTGTAGCACGCTGAGCTCGTAACGGGGTCGCGGGGTTTCATGCGGCGTCCGACTGACGGCTTGTGTTTTCTCTTTCTCTTGTCCAGGAAGAACCGCCGTCTGTTTGAGCGGTGCTCCGTCCTCCTGCAAATACAAGAACTTAATCACAACGCCAACCAGACGCACACGTTCCTCCGCCTCAACCTGAGGTCGATCCTCCACAACCTCCGATAACACGCACACGCGCGTGTCTTCTGCCTCGTGCTTGACTCTCCTTCCGTGTTCTTTTTATATGTGTGTACCTCAATTTCCCTCTTGGTCCACCTCAAGTTACACATGTGTTTACGTAGTAATGTGTTGTTGAAGTTTCTTTGTCTATCAGAAGTAGTTTTTTGGATGTTGTGTAACCCGTCATGCCTGCCCGTGGCCTTAATGAGTGTCTGATGTGCTCAGAGGAAGAGCGGCTGCGACTGTGAAGCTTTTTAATGACAATAAACAAAAAGGACTGAGGGACTCGCTAAAACCCATATGTTTTGTGTAAAGTTGTCTTATTTGTTTGTTCCAGTGGGTTAATGGGAGTAATGGTCTCAGTGTGGGACATAGCGGTGGTGTTTCTTGACGGAGGAGTTTGGACGGACTGGAACAATTACAGCTGACATTCAGAACTGACTCTGAGGTGCTCGGCTAGTCTCAATTGGATCCAAGTTTTAAGGCCCTGAATTCCTAAATGGACTTATTGCAACAGGATTTAGCTCAGGGTTGGAATGTGAATTAATTTAACATTGCATAATTGTATAATCTAGAATACTGTGAATGTGCATCCTGGTCATCTTTAGGAGGTCACTATATTATCTTGATTCTTTTGTCATTCATCAATGAATAGCTTGTTTTTTTTTATGTGAGGAATAACCGACAGGAGGATGGAGGAACATTGAGACAGTCCACATGTGGGTTGGAATCCCCTTTGGAATAAAATAATTCAACAACAAATATGTTTTAAATGTCCGGCCAGAAAGAATTTGACCTGCTTTAGATAGTGAAGTAATTCCCTGTGTGATCACGGACACTTGGAAACTGTCCAGCTTATATTGACTATGTACGAATGTACAGTCAAAATACATTTATTCTTTTTACTGTATTTATCAGTTTGGGAAATTCGATTTTACAGACACGTCCGAACATCTACATTATACTCGCTATGTTTTTCAGGCTGCTTTTCTTTTTCTCTGGCTGTTTGGACGCCTCCGCATCACAAAGCCCAGGTTCAGCACTTGATAAAGTTTCAGGAGTCTGCTGCGGCTAACGTCGCAGCCCATTAAACATACGGAATGTTACTACCTCGAAGTACTCGTTTTACTGTGCGGCCCGGCACCACAGCTCACACAAGGACAATATAAAACCCAACGGTTTGGAAACAAAATGACTGGGAAAACAAAGTCCTTCTAGGGTTGCTGCTGTCGATAAGTAAATCCCCTCCGATGGTAAAACTAAATTGCCTGGGCGTAGTTTTAGAGACCAGAGGGGGTTCCAACTGGCCCTAATTGAGTCTCGGCGTACCTTTTCAGTTCTCTTCTTGCTTATATGTTTACCACCTCACCAACTGTCAACATCCGTACGCGGAGGAGATTATATTGTAGATACAAGAGGAGGTCACATTTTGTTTTGCTTCGCCGATGTGGCTGTTGTGAGTTGCGTTGCATCTGGAGGATATCACATGGGAACATCAGACCTAATGATCAACAGCAGAAGACGTTCTGCGCAGTGCAGCCACGTAAACAAGCCATCCTTCAGCACGTGTGAAGGTCCGCCTCGCCTCGAACCCTCACCAACCCCCCAAATGTGTTTGTGTTGTGTCACTTTAAGACGGATGCGGTGCGGTTGTGATTAAATGAATCCGCCAAGATCATAATGTCTTCAACGGTTTCATCCTCATCCATCTCTCGTCAGCTCTCTAGAATGGATAAAAATTGATGAAAAAGATGCGCATTCACTTTCATTCTTCATTAACTCATCTTTTGCTTGAATAGCAAAGATACAATTTGGTGCTATTGAGTTTTAAACAGATAAGAAGTGCATCCGAGTTGCTCCATATAATGTAAAAATCTCAGGTTAACCAATTAAGATTCTTGTTAGCACTCCGTAGTGGAGACGTACAGAATTTGAATCTTAATTTATTCATATTTGAGCATTCGGAATCTTGCTATTGTGTTATATATGTTCAATTTAGAATTCCCTCTTTATTCACCATAGCCGGTTTAGTTGCTCGACACACACATTCCGCACAGTTTGTTTCGCCATAGCAACAATCTTTTCCTCACCCTGAGCATGCTGTCGTTTTCTTGCACAGATATTCTTATTGAAAATAGGAATTTAAGGATTTGGCATTGTCTGAAAAAGAAAACAGAACGTGAGATGTTGCATAATTCATAATTCATGTCCTTGTCTGGCCTTTAACTGTGAAAAAACGCATTGCAGAATATCACATTTGACGGGGAACTACTGCGTTTATGCCCACTTCAGGAACTTTCCAAAGCTGATTTATCTACTCCCACGAGTTCAGTTGAGTCTGGTCGGCACGGCGGCGTCTGGTCCGTGTTCCCTAACACGCTTCACCCTACCAGTCCGCCCTGCACAGCGTCACCCGCACGACTTTAAACGGCGATCTTGATTTATGTTTGGGGTTTTTCTCGCTGGAGAAGTCACAAAATTAGCCTGAAGAGTGGCCCGGCCGCGGTCTGGCGGGTAAACCTCATTAAAATGTTATTCGGTCGGTGGGAGGAAGCTGGCAGGGGGAAACATTAGCGGTTCCACTTCAGCGCAACCACAAAGTCGAGTCAATCAGTGATTCCACGCGGCAGACCACCAAATGTATATTATTTCCACCGGCGTTAAATATGCTGCTCGAGTAAGGCAATAAGCGCGGGGCGGTTCTGGGGATTTACCTGCCTGTGAATTCGCCCGTGTGCGAAGGAGCTGTGAGTGGAAGCAGCTGTCTGGGCCTGTTTAAGGTGGACAGGCTTGGATCCAACCGGCTTGTTCTAAATGGTTTCTATTCTAGTTTACCATCATTAAAATGGATTAAGAGTCTCACATCCGGAAAAAAATGGCTTCTTAGTATTGCTGTTACGCAAAATGAATGTTGCTGTCAGAGCAGACTCTCCCTGCCGCGGAGCCTGAGGGCTTCCTGAGGATGTAAAGGCGTCAGCCATCAGTAATCCAGCAGCAGCACATTCTTGTTAATTTGTCGTTGCTGCTTATTCATAATAGGCTTTTATCTCCTTTCATGTGCCGTGTCTGTTTGCACTTTGACCTTTGCTGCTGCGGCCCTGTGAATTTCCCCACTGCGGGACCAATGAAGGATTAAATGGATAATCTTATTTTATTATATCTTTCCGAAGGGCAGATCGGAGGATTGGACTATTGATCATGTCTGTGCCTCTGAGCTGTGTGTTTAGTGCAAAGTATCTCAACATGAATTCACCGCTTCAACCCATCTGTTAGCCGAAGGCTTTGTTGATTTCCTCCTCAGTCCTGTCTTTACCCAAAGCGAAGCTCTGTGCTATCCGCCTCATTTCACTTTTGGCTTTTAACTTTTTCTGCAGGGATTCACACACATTTTGTCCTTGGATGTTGTGTTGCAGGAATGGCTGTTGAACGCAATTTAATTTCTTAGAGTGCAAACACAGTTCACCCCTCGCTCCAGACGGACAAGCGATGCGACACATACCGTACAGGTCTGGAAGGTACTTGTACTCCTGCTGTTTGATCCGCTCGTGGTCGCCTGGTGGGGATGAGTGTGTGCATGCAGTTGTTGTGTTTAGGGCGAATGTGTTACTCAGTGGCAGAGGTTTAATTAGCTGCAGGGTCGGAACTCCTTAGGGTCAGGGTCAGATAACCAATAGCTCACCTCAAGTGTATCTTTATGGCTTCAGAAGTGATTTAAAGTCAATGCCAAAACGACCCCGAAGACACAGACTTCCGCACACTCGTGTGTACCTACCCAATGTGTGTGTTATCAAACTAAAGGCTCTTTATGGATTATTCTTGGGCAACTTTGCAACCTCTATGCTGCCCTGATGCCCCACAGCAGCATCGCTGGCGTTTCCAGTGTCAGACCGACCTTCTCTGAACCAGACTCATGAGCCCCGGCCAGCACACACACACACACTTAATCTTTTAGCTAAGGCATCGGGAATGTTTGGCACAAACACGCAGCCGCATAGTGAAAGCCTGATGACAGAGTGCTGTGCAGTGGCAGCTTCCACTGGAGCGGCTGACTGTCGGTGGGAAAAAAGAGATGAAAAAAAAAAAAAAAAAGGTGAACAAAAAAAGATGTTTTGTGTGCAGCAACGGGTTTAAGTGTTGTCGAAAACAAAATTCCTCCAGCTAGAGAAGTGTTTTGTATTTGTACAGGGAAAAAGTTTTGCCTCTGAAATGAAAAGCAAAATGCATCAGTTGAGTATCTGGAAGACGTAGTTTGCGAAAGTTTTGCGCTATTCTGTTTGGAAACAGTAATAAAAATGAAATATTTAATACTATGAAATACACCCGTGGGATAGAATTAATGCCCAAATGAAGTTATAATCTATTGATCTTGTCCTGCAGTCTTTTTCCAATGACATCATTCGATGAGCAGCAGCTACTGTGCCTCTTTGATTGATATTTAACTAACTGGATGAATGAACTGGGAAATGTTGTGATTATTAATTTCCCATTTAGTGCTAATCGATTAATAGACCCTGACAGTGTCTGCCGTATCATCGACAGTCTGGAATAGACAATAGGGATAATTTACTGTACATGATTTTCCTTCAGCTCTAACACGATGTACGTGGCTCATTACCTTTTATTGTTATGTAAGCGTTTGGTCAGTGTTACGCTGATGGTTGAATGAGGTGGCCAAAGAAATCTTGACTATAAAGTCAAATGGTAACTTAGGAATGATTTGAACGTTTTATGATGTAACCCTGGTTTTAAGAGTCTGTTTTGATTTGTTGAAGTAGTTAAATTAACTATTTGCCATGAAACTCAATCCTTTCATCCGGACCTATCAACAGGACAATTTTTTACCATGACTTAATATTTGCAAAACTAATCAGCTTCATCCTCAGGCTTTACTTTTTGTTTTTTAACTTGCGGATGTTTAACAGGCTGAACGCTGATGGTGAACATGGTCGACATTATGGTTGTCAAACAGGCGATTTTTCCAAAACAACCGTTGTGGCCGAGTACAACCTCACAGATAGTGAGTACAGGCTCATATATGGCCTTTAAACTTATTACATAACAGCACAAAATATATGAAACACCTGCATTAGTACAAATCCATGAAACTGTAATTACAAAAGAATTAAACTGTAAAAACGTGTTGTCAGTTACTACATCATGAAACTCAAATACCGAGCCATTTTTGCAATACATCTTTATTAATGCATACATAATGTACAATAATAAGTTATATATACAGTTATACTTTGGTTCATTGATGGGTCTGTGTGTGCGTTTCTATACGTTCTACACTGTATGTGTTACTGAGGCACGGTAATCCACGTTTGCCTCCTGCATATCATCCTATCAGCATAATAACTGTCTGAGAAGAGTTTAGCTCTCTGAAAGACGCCGTTGGGGTTCATACAATGTCAGGCATCAATTCAATTATTTACAAAACATAGCAACAATAACTAGTTTAACTTGTGTGGATTGGATTTGATGAATGCAACTATGCTCTGAGAAGGCCGTTTTAAAATGTAATATAATGCCCGATAAACATAAATAAAACTAATAGATTTAGAGTACTGGAGGCCAGCCGGAGTTTGCGAGGTAACATATGAAAGACGGACCTATAGAAAAAGAACTTGGCGACGGGGCAATGTGTTGGATTTGCTGCAGAGACGTTGCGGAACATAATTCTGACAACATCAGACATTCAGATAAAGAGCCGTCCAATTCCTAAAAAGGGCCTCAAAGTAGGACTGCAGACGGCCCAGTGGTTGCCCCACGGGGCGCTGCTCATTGACCCGGCGCCGACGGGCTTCAACGAGACGCTCCTCACAAGGTTGAACTCGCTGCGCATCGGAACCACCCTCCATCTTCTGTGCTTAACCGCCTTCGGCTGCTTTTGAGAGGTGGACAACCCGCACGGCCTGCACGTTGTTCTCATTTGCCGTATTGCTCCCTCATGGGGAGAGGGGACCCTAAATCCTTTCTGAGCATGACTGAGCCCACCACAAATCCTGCTTCCACTTCGACCGGGCCGCATTCTTGCACCCTTCGCTGTGCAGCAAACCCCCGAGGGGCCGTTTGACAAGCCTCCACCACGGCATCTCTCGTTTATAATGCTGTTTTTTTTTTTCACTGCGTTTCCACTGGGCTTTCACTGGTTAAGTGGCCCTAACTGCTTAATTGGGTGCTGGAAATCACAGGCATTTTGCGCCCGCTCCGTAAACCACAACACTTCAGACTATTAGGGGGCCCACAGGAGCCACACGCCAAATAATTAGGGCTGGCGGCAGCACTAGACCGCAGCTTTGGGGTAAAAGGGTAATAAGGTAGGGAGGGCGGGGGGGGGGGACTACGTCCATGGAAGTTGTTGGTGTATGGGAATGCTGGTTCCTGTGTGTTAAAGTTGGGGAAAGTGGATTCGTGCAGAACGCGAGAAGCAGAGTACCTCTGTATCCACCCGTTGATTCAGCTAAACAATCGCAATTCTCTATTCATATAAATATATCAATAAGTGTGCTTGATCTGAATGCTGGTGAACCGTTTTTCAGCTGGACATAATGATTGCTTTTCAAACAGGGAGCTCTTACCCGCCGTCTTTCCGCTGTGATTACGGCGCAGCCAAAAAAGGCACAGCACGATCACGCCGCTTTCCACTCGCGCTGCCACAAGCGTCCCGTTGCACCAGCCGTGGGATTAAACTGTGTGAACCCTGATTGAAAAGGTTTAGTGATAAGGCATCTTCATTCCTTCCTCTTGCAACGTGGCGTGCCTCAAAAAAAAGGCACTCAACTGGCATTTCTGTCGTCTTGCATGCTTATTGTGTGAACAAGGCCACATAAGGGTGTGATTGTGTTGCGTCCAGCGCACACTTAATCTAGCTATTTCTTTGTGCAAAGGCTGACTATTTGCGATTATTGATTCTCAAACTTACTACTACTAGCTTCATGAGAGAGAAAACGCACGCTGGGACGAAAAGCATTGTGCACTTGGGGGGTGACGTTCTTCATGTGATAGGGGGGGGGTTGTGTGCTCCGTATGTGCTGTCCCCTTAGTCAGCACAGTATCTGTCCTCACACACACGTGTGTAGAGTCTCGGAGTCTCCGCTCCATCGCGCGTGTTCAGACGCTGGCGCAGCGCTGGGACGGAGACAGGCACGAGGACGGGCACACCAGCTGGCTGTGAAAACTGCTGTTGCCCTGGCGACCGGCGGCCGCCGCCGTCTCGCTGCTGCCCAGCACGTCGGAGCAGAGCGACTCCACCGCGTCGAGCCTCTCGATATGCACCAGGCGGGTCAGGAGGTCGGGGATGCTGTAACCCGCCGTGCTCACCCTCTCGAAGAGCTGCAGGCCGTCGCTCATGCCGCCGATCTCGTCCCGCTTCAACCCGAAGCTCTCGGCTAGATGCCTCCACGTCTTCACCACGGCCGCCTCGCTGCTGTAGGAGGAGCTCAGCATGCGGCTGGCCTTCTCCAGGCAGTCGAATGGAAGCTCTGTGGGGCTCAGGCCTGGAGGGGGACAGCGGGGTTGTGGTGTGTATAGTATTGTTTGAATAGATTGCACAAATACCTAAAAGTCTGCAGAGGATTTCATATTGACTTTTCCTTCAGTGAACATGACCCAAAACCCTGTGTGTGCGGTGCTAACTATGAATTGTCAACATGCCGACATGCTGGACTGAGATGGTGAATTTGATTTAATTATGAAAGATATGCATGAGAGAGGTAATGACTGCTGTTCGGGGGAAGTTTCACTTCCTGGAGCGATTGTCTTGAAAATGAAGATATTGTTTCTCACTTCACTGCGCATCGTCTCCAGCCGTTCATCTGAAGTTAAATGCCCCCACGGTGTCGACAGAAATCAATTCTTTGACGACAAAGCTCGGTAGGATGGAGAGTTAACTTACCCTCCGTCACATTGCAGGCTCTGCCGTACAGATCCAAGATTTTTTTCCTCCGGCTCTGAAGCATCTGTGTGGTTATATAAAAGAAATATAAAACAAAAGCTTTACGATGTGATTTCCAGATGAAGCTCGACTGAGGATCCGTTCACAATCACATCCTTATCTCATGTGACATCTTCAAAAGCCTCCGCTCCTTACCCCCGGGGTTTTGTTGTTGTTGTTGTTGTTGATTGCGGTCACGCTGCTAATGTGGTTGGCGCCGTGGATGTTATTGGCTGACATGGCGGGGCCCCCGTTGCCGGACCTGTCGCGCTCCAAGAGGCCCAGCGAGAGCAGGCAGAGGTCGGGCTTGTTTCCCAGGTTGACGAGGCACAGGCCGGGATTGTTGGCGTCGGCCGATCCCTGCTTGTCGGACGCCGCCTCCTCGTCGCTGTCGATGCTGCGGCTCAGCAGCTGCTCGTTCTCTGATGACGCGTCGTTTTCACTGCGCGCAGAAACACGAGCCGATGTTTAAGCACATTTCTATGCGTTCCAACAAACACATGCAGACACACTGAAACAGATACATTTGCACTTATATTTTACAGCATGATATCAGCAATGTCATTTGATCACGCGGCCTCTCTCTCTCGCCCGTTTTTTGTGAGTGTTGACTGAGACGCTCACAGAATGCCATTGTTTCCAAGTCCCGTGCTTTTCTTTTTCCCCCCTCGAGCGTGCGCACAAGGTGGCATTGTGTTCAGGACATCTAACACCCGCTCTGGCAGCTTAAAGCAGTGAGTTAGCACATCTTCTGGCACGCTGCTATCCCACTGTTTGCTGCTATTAATGCTGCGTTGGTGTGTGTGTGTGTGCGTTTGCATGTGTACCACTACCTTCCATGGAACAGCATATCGACCTAAGCGTGTTCGCTACGGGCACTGAAAGGTTTGAGCACAATGGCTCACTGTAGATCTGCGTGCAACAGTCTGTCACGTATTCCCTCTCTTCCCTCTGCGCACTGGTTACTTCTTCCCATAAAGCGGCATCGCCTGCGCGTGAAACAAACGAGACGCAGGCGCAAAGAGGAAGGTGGGGAAAAGCGTTCTCTTGTTGTCTGCCGGGCTGTTCTTTGACCTGGTGGCGGTTTTAGGAAAAGCCAGGAGGGAATAACCATCACCATGTCGACAACTACCTCCTGTGTTTGCACGGCTTCAGGGCTCATCTGTGACTCTCTCACACACACACACACACACACACACCTCACACCCCAAACCTCCCTGCCGGCTCCGAAACCACATAATTGCGCTCTGATTCATAAAGAGAAAAATGGAAAAATGAAACGTGTCTGTCTTTTACGTTGCCGCGGCGTTACTGCTGCTGGGACGAGGTCTGTGGCGGCTAAATCACAGGCAGATGCTGACAAAAAAATGATAAAAGCTTCTTTCTGTTGTGTAAAGCCTCTGTGACGCCAGAAACAACACACACACACACACACTGGAAACTCAAGATGAGAAAACAGTGGCGCAAGCCGTACATTTCAAGTGTTCTCCAGCACGTTTCCCATGTGTTCAATACGCTTAACTGAGGAACCAGCACAAAACGATACATAAATAAACACAGTAATTGTACACACATATCATAACCATAATATAATTAAGTGTACTAAACATAGTAGTTGTTCTAGCTTTGTTTAGTTTTAGGAAATGGATGGTTGTCAAACTGAAGAGGAATTCGCCGGTTTGTCTGCTCTTACTTTGCTCAACTGAAGAGCAGCGGTGTGGCAAAGCGTTTTTCTTTTTTTAACTTTTCGCCAGATGTGTCTCTCACCTTTTGACCGTCTTCTGAGGAGGAGCTTTTAGTTTGTCAAACTCATCTTTCTCTGAGTAGATCACCACTTTGTCTACGAGAGAAGAAGAGGGAACAGAGAGGTTTACCGCTGTGTTTCACTGTCACACGTACAGAAAAATCATAAATAATGAGTAGCAGTAGTCTCAATTGCGTTGTTTCTAAATGCACACGTGTTTGGTACATACAATTAACCAAATAGAATAACAAACTTCACAATATCTGTCAGACCGGATTAAAGTTACACTTCTACACAGACGCTGGCGTGAGTCGAGGTGCGCTATAGAAAACAGGTTCTTGATACCTTAAAGGATGTTTACTGCACTCAGAGAGATGTATAAAATGATTACAGTGAGTAGAATGTTAAATTCCACTTCCACCGTGGATACTGATGGGGAAAGAGAAGACAGCATAATGAGTGAATTCCTAAGTGGAACATATGCTGTGTGTGTGTGTGTGTGTGTTCTGTTAAAGTGTCCGTGTCTTTCATTTCACAGCCTTATTAACTCGGTGTCTACATGAGTGACAGTTAGCTCCGGTAGAGCAAGCCAAGCAAAGAGCTTATCTTTCAAAATACACACTGCATCCACACAAACACACAAAACAATAGTGGCATTTTTTTTGTCAAAGTATAACGACTTTCTCAGCTCATGGTTTTTTTTTAGCTGTGAGATTATAAAGTCCACAACCTCATCGCACCACATAATGTTTCTGTGGCCACAGATACTGTGTGTGTGTGTGTGTGTGTGTGTGTGTGTGTGTGTGTGTGTGTGTGTGCCTCCACACCACATGCAAGTGCTTAGTCAGTCAGTCTGGGAGTGAAATTGAACAGAGCATCATTGTCAAGAGAAATGGCGCCCAAAGCAACGTATGGCTTTTGCTTTGGAAGCTCCACATTCCACCATGATGCACTCATCATATTGCAGGTCTGTCGGCACACACACACAAGCACAAACACACCTACACACACACACACACATGATTGGATTAGTTTGATGTAGACTTGATCAGCAGTGGATGTCGTAGAGTAGAAGATAAAATTAAGTGTTCAAGTTCAGGTGTTCCATAATTCGTAAATGTGTGCCGCAAAGTTACTGTACTAGTAATTTAGTGGGAAGCCCTTTCGTTCACAGATAACATGCAGGTTTTGGGTTTACGGGATAAACTAGACGTACAGTAATCCTGGATCCTGAATTTGCTACAGGATTGAGTAAAATTACAGTTTACTCTGCTGTTCGTGCCTTAACTGACTGCATTTGAAATTGCACTCTCTGTCGCTGTGACTATTTTGGAGTAATCTCACAGTTTGAAAGTTACTGTAATTATGGCTTTTTGTGTCTTTGCATTGTTGAGAGTGTATTGAGTTTAAACAGCATCTGTTATTCATTGAGTCTATATTTTGTGGGGTCTCTTTTAAGGACCGGTGCAACGTGTGCAAGAGAATTTTATGGAAACATGGAAATGATCAGTTTGTGGCTGTTTATTTTTACGGATATGAAAACACTGAGAATTTTAGTGAGGAAGTAACAGATGGTGTGCACATAAACACTCACTGAAAAGAAGTATGTTCATGCTTTACCAAGTACATGCATTCTGTCTTTTGACTTTTTGAATTAAAAAAAGAAATATTTCATAGTATAAACACGCAAAGTGATCTCAATAGTGTTACAATAAAGTAACTACAGACACTTTGATCCTCAAGTGGCTTTTACTGCTTATCTTTGATTTGAGTATTAAGAACAAAAAGTTTCTTATTGATATTGATGTGTAATTTCCTCAAGGATAAAATTGCTCAAGCAGTGATGTCCTCACCTGCTAAAAGAGTATGTTAGTAATTAAACACCTTTCGTGAGTATTACATTTTGGCATTAAGGTTGCATCACTCGTTTTCATGAACACGAATCCAAGATTATTTATGTTTCGCCATATCAGGTATAAAACCAAAACCAGGATGCGGCTCATGTCCAGCGTGCTGGTGTGCATGTAAACAAAGAACAATGAGGCAACAATACAGATGTGACTACAGAGATCGGTTTGTGAGTGACACCAAACAGGAAGTCATTAAGAAGCTTAAAAGCTTATTTGAATGTGTGAATGTGTGTGTGTGTGTGTGTGTGTGTGTCGGATCTCACCAGGGATTTCCTTCTTCTCTTCCTGTTTGTTGCTCTGAGCTTCCACTGCCTTCACAACTTGTCCAGAACAACAGGCTGTAGACACACACACACACACACACAGGAAATGTCACTATGCCAACCTCTAACATTAGAGTGTGCACACATGTGTGTGTGTCGGTCTTACCCTGACTATTCGGTTTCGCCTTTAGGATATAGAACATGATGATGAGTACGATGGCGATGGCCATGATGAAGATGGTTGACATGGCGATAATGAGTGCCGTAGCTAGGTGACCTTGTCCGTTGGAATCTGAAACGTTGGAGGCAAATATTTGAACAAATGAACGGTTACAGGTGGATGAAGCTTACATGGTTATGTCAGTGTGTGTATTTGTGCGTACCTTTGTGTAGATGAGGGAACACAGTTGTGCTGCCAGGGTCAATCACGGGTTTTTCTTTTGGTCGACTGGTTAACATGCCTGCACAGACACACACAGACACAGAGTTCACAAACCTTCAGTTCCTATTGTTTGCTCATTTATTCATTCCGAGCAAAAGCACGCAACAATGTCCATGGTTGAAGGAATAGTTTGAGAAATATGCTTCTTCACTTGTCGTGCCTGTCGTGCGTAAAGAGACAAAACTCTTATGTCGTATCGGTTAAATATAAAAGCACTGCCAGCAGCTGGTTAGCTTAGCTTGGCACAACCACTGGAAAGGGTGAAACAGCTGGCTGGGCTCAGTTTTAAAGCAGCAAAATCCACATACAAGCACCTCTAAATGTTGGTAATTCACATGATGACACCAGCTTGCTAAATATGGATTCTACTCCTTTAAAGTGGAATGTATGATTCACTTCTTTCTTCCGGAGATGACACAATATCCCAGATTGGTGAAGAGAGAAGCACGGGAAATACTGTGAGGTGTTAGACATTAGTCACTGGCGGAGGCCACATGTCATCTGTCACTGGTTATGGGATGTTACCTTTGGCGTCGCATTTTTACTTCCTTATTTTATTTTATTCTCCCCCTCAATAGTGTTCCATGACATCATTTTGGAAGACAGGAAGAAGCTCTCGGCCCAAATGTCTTTCTCGTTCTTCCTCCCCGCGTTTTTTTTTTCTGTTTCATTCATCAACAGTTTTTCCTCTTTCTCAATCAAGCTGTAAATTCCAGACAGGACGTAAATCAGCCCTTTTAATCGGCCTTTTATTTTCCCCCCAGTTGATACACTGTACAACTCTTTGGCATGCGGCCTGCTGCTTCCTGTGGTGTCATCACCCACACACACACAGACACACACATCAGTGCCCTGTGGCTGCAGACATTAACTGCGGCTCTGTGTTTACACTCTGCATGAGGATATGAGCTCTGACTGGAATTTTGTTTAACGTCTCGCGGTTTGGTGTCTTGATCATGTCTCTCAGCCCCAATTCACTCTGCAAAGAGGATAATTCCGCCGGGCAATCAGGGCACTCGGGTCCAAACAAACTGAGAGGAGTAGAAATACAAAGCGGGGGGAAATATATATAGAAGTGAAAAAATAAATAAAAGCATTTTAGTTTGAGGTGAAGTTGTGGGCGGGAATGTGGCAACGGTTAATTTCTGATCATATGAAGCTCACATGTGTCTAGTGTCACTCTGGATACAGTCGATAAGTAGATCCGTATTAATGAATTAGTATCACGTGTGTTGGTGACAACAAAGTCAAAAAGTGACTGGAAGTTGAACGACAGGCGAGTAAAGTCTGCCTGCCAAAGAGTAGCATCGGCGCAAGTAGCAACACGCTAATCATCTTCTTCTTTTTTTCACATACCCACTAAAGTTTTAATTATCACACACGCAGAGCGAGGCAGGAGCCGGGGTAATTTACAGATTACATGGCGAGTGTCAGCCTGCCTTCACCCTGAGTACAACTCGTAGCCTTCAGCTCCTTTGTGCTCACTGTTGGGGAGTGCATCATTTATAAGTTCTCCAACATCTAAAGAGGGTTTAATTAAAATGCACCACAGCCTGACTTGTAGGGAATGGAATGAAGATTGGAGAATAGAGAATTATATATTTAAACCAGTGTTTATTAAACTTATTTCAGAGAAAGACTATATTTACAGCTGGTGTTTTTAATGTCGTAATTGTTTTTGACATTTTGTATTGTTTGCTTTGCATCTTTATCATCTCTTATCAATGATTTATATAAATTACATCTTTGTCAGATTATATATAAAAGTAAGAAGATGAAGAAAAAAGTCTGTAAGGAAGCACAAATAGGTAGTGAAAGTCCTTACAGTTAACAGACTTACAAGTAGACAACTCACAGTATGGGACTAAGCATATATCTGCCTAAATGTTGAAATTATATCAAATATATATATATATGTATTATATTAAATATAATACATTTGCGACCCTGAAATAAGTTTTGAGTCTCTTACCATAGATATAAGAATATATTTCTTATTTCCACAGAAGCATTCAATCATCCATATACATTACACACAATTAGATTTCTGTTGAAAAGGAAGCTATTATTCATACACACACACACACACACACACACACACACACACACACACACACACACACACACACACACACACACACACACACACACACACACACACACACACACACAGTCCTGTATACGCTCTCCTCTGCAGGCCCAGGCTGCTTTTGGTTTGTTTTCGTCTCTCATAATTCCCTCATTAAATGTGACACAATAACAGTGCCATTCATATCCGGCCTCTCTCAATTACACTCAAAGGGGGTTTGAGCTATTATAGGCCCATAAATATCATTCCCATAGGAAAATGTATGAGCGAAGGAACAAAAACACTATTCAGCTCACATCTTTTCAGATTGATGTGATCTATCGGTCAGATGTAGATAAACCCACAGAGGGCCGGACGGTGAGAAATTCCACTTCCCAGCTCTGCTATAAATACTCATCTTGACAAGCATCAAAAATCACTTACATGCCCTGAAAATCTATTAATCCACCGCGGCTAAATATTACTTTCAATAAAGCATCAATTTCAAGTTCAGACTAAGTGCTCTTGATACATTTTAAGTCTCCGTGAAGACTGTTATCTATTGTATTGTATTTGATTAGATTTTAATCTATTGAGGTATAATCTCGTTCTCATTTTTCATGGTGTTGATAACTAAATCCAAGGCTTATTTTATCATTGAAGAGCAAGGATGACATTTAATTAGCCTTTTTCTTTTAGCTTTATCTTTTTTTTTTCCAGTGTCTTAAAAATATTCAAAATATCTGACTTCTACACAAAGATGTGCTGCAAATGCCACACAACAAAATGGCAGGACGAGAAGAGAAATAAATTAAACCAAACCAATGACCTTAAAGTTACTAATGCCATTTCCATTTGTGCATCAAGTTAACCTTAGCAATAAACCTCAAAGGAGAGACACTTCGGTAACAATTCATACAGATTCAGGATGAGGAAATATAAAATACTGCATAATAATCTACAATACTGACAAATTATTTCAATAATGTATTCCGACAGATCACAGAGGCTTGGTTGTGAGTCTCTTTTCCCTCTGCAGCTGCAGGGGCCACAGAAACATACTGCAGCATCTGGCTCCAATATTCTGCTTGAATGCCACTTGACGAATTTAACGTTTTGTTTTGCAGCGGTTGGGAAACCTTTTGTGAACCGCGCAGGCTGATGCTGATTTGGAGCAACAGATGACGCCTTGGCATGTGCACACTCACAGTTGTATGTGTCAGGTATGCAGGGGAATAGGTGAGGCAGAGAGGTTATGGACAAGCTGTCAAACCCCCATTCTGCAGCCAGAGAAGGGGAGTTGGGAGGAGGAGGGGGTTGTTATACGTCTTTATGTGCATCAGTGACCGGAGGATCTGGGGGAAATAACTGCAACTTCTGACCTCCGACAGCTCACTCAAACTCACTCCAGGCTTTCAACATCTGCTTCGGCAGAGCATACCCCCTTTTTATTTCTTATCACTTTGATATAAAGCTTTAATGTTTGGTAGCTTTGAATCAAACGTAAACCAGGTCGGTGTTAGAACAGAGAATGCTGTGGAGATAAAACGTTGAAAAGGGGGAATTCACGGTTGCTGTTGTTGTCGGGACGAAAGGCTGCAAGTGAGCGGAAGGAAGGGGAGGGTGTGATATCAAACGCCGAGGATGCCGGCCTTACATTCTTTGGTGTTGCGCGGTGCGTTCTGGCAGGAATGGCAAACCATCCCGTAGAGGTTCCTGGGTCTGTTTTCCAGCATGTAGTACCTGGAAGACACAAAGTAAATGGGTACAAACCAGCAACTCGTCTGACTACATAATCAAACCGCACTACTAGGTTTACTGGAGATACCATAGAATAAAATAAAACACTTTGAGCCCTATCTGCAAGAACAGGAAGTGTGGACACAACACGTATCCTCCCAACCTTGTAGACACGCTGTACCTACAAGCTGCATCAGTACGGGCAAGCAGCTGAGGTGAAAAGTTGGCCTCGGTGAAGAAATGTACATAATTGATGCCCCGGAGCCAGTAAATATGCCGTGGTGCATGATATCGCACGGAACTTTAAAGCATCTATTAGAGAAAAGGAGACAGGGAGTCGAGTCTGCAAATGACTGCCGACGGTATTAAATCATTTCGGCTTGAGAGGATGAGCAGCATTTTGAATAATATCTGCAGCACGCAGGTAATTGACTGATGCCTTCATACATCTAGACACAGTGAATTTCTAACATACCAACTCTCCCATTGTATCAATTAGTTAAAGCACTATATATTACCATAAAATGTAAACAATAATTGAGTTATTAGTGTATTAAATAATTATTAAGAAAATATTCTATATCTTCATAACATATTCAATTAGAAAAGCTTTTTCTGTAAAATATATTGCAAAGCAAGAGATCCAAAAGTGCCATTCATTGTTGAATGCTTGGTTTGGGTCGCCTTTAACGTGCAGGCTGCTTCAATGGTAGTGTGTGTGTGTGTGTGTTGGTTTCGTTTACCCTGTTAAACAAGGTCCGCATTCGGCGTCGCTGTCCGGAGTTCCCGCCACGCGGACCGTTGCTTTGTAGAGAGCGTCGCAGTCTTTATGCCTCCTGCAGATCTCGTACTTCCCTTTGGAATATTTCCCGTGTGGACACGTCACGCAGGCAAAGTCCTCATCCTTCACACCGTAGCCGCAGTTCTGCAAAAAACACACACACGCAGATCAAACATTAGGTTCATATTTCTCTACATATAATGCAGATTTTTCTTTTTAAAATAACTCTGCACCATTCAGATCAATAAGATGATCCACAAATGTGCAGCAGGTACACACGTTTCAAAGAGCGCGGACCCACACATCTGTTTCGGTCCTTGCTATTGTTGTTTTGAGATGATAAAAGACAGATTCGATTGGTCCCAGAGGACCCGATGTGTGTGCGTGTGCACTGTACATGTGTGTATACAGCTTTCCACAGCTTGTGGTGTTTGAGATGACCGACCCATCATTCTGTCATCATCAATCTCCTCCCATCTCTGCTCGTTCCTTTCTCACATTGGGAGGCGGAACAACAGGCCACAGGCGCACACACACTCACACACACTTACACACACATACATACCAAAACATATGCTGTGTTTTGCTCCGTCTCCTTCGTCTTTCATTTCCCTCTTCCTTTCATCCGTCTATTCAAACAAGCCTCCCATGCTTCTCTCTCGCATTGCTTTCCCTCTGTTTTCACGCGCAAAGGTCTCACCGTGACGGTTTGATAGCAACATTTGTTGAGCTATCAGCGGATTCTTGTTGCTTTTGGTTAAAAACTCGCTTTGGATCTTTCATTTTCTTTAAACTGGGTCACCATGGCTCTGCTTCTGTGTGTTCTCCAAAAGCTGCTCTGATTGAAAGGTTCTTTCCCTTCAAAGACAATCTGTTGCCTCTTTGAATCTTGTGCATCATGGATCAAGGAATAAGGTTGAAACAGAAAGAGATGGCGAGGAAGGGAAATGGGGGGGGTGATGAAATGCAACAAAGGTTCAGCGCAATTTGAGCCGGTGCATGTTTAAGCATCTGAAACCACCGGGCCATGAGGTCCTCCAAGGGAGACTTCCAGCTTTAGGCTTTAAGCTGACTCCAAACCTCGATGCCAGATGCTGCGCCTTCGCATCCACATACCTTTCATCACTCAACATAAATATGAACTTTCTCCCCAATGTGTATGTTCATGTAGAAAATGTCATCCAGCTACATCACACACACACACACACACAGCGCTGGATACAAGATGAACTTTAAAAGTCTTTGGGTGTCTGAGGTGATGTCTGTGTGTATAAGTGTGTGCTTTCTGAAGTCTCTGCTGTGGGGATGAACCCTGTGGCTATCCCATGATTAAAAGGGTGTCCAACAACACACACACACACACACACACACACACACATGCACATGAAGCTGAGGGGGTGCAACAACACATGAATTACAGACTGTGTGACACAGAGGATCCGACGGGCAGGAGAAAGTGCAATGGGGGGGTGGGAGAGGGGGCTTTAATCTTTCTGATTAAACCTCTTTTCACTTCTCATGTTCTTATATCGCTCACAAATATAAGAATGACTCCTGATGACAGAACGCTGCGCTTTTCACACCGAGCGTCTCATTTTACCAACACAACTCATCGCAGAGGATGCTGACTGCAAGTTACTCTATATAAATATACATATCGATATAGATATAAATATCTATATAAAGAAAAGAAAAAGAAAAGGGAAAACTGAGAACGCCGCTGCATCCAAATAAATGACAGAGACCATAATCCATCGTGTTCACCCTCGAGTGGTGCCGTCACTCTTAAGTAGGTGTGGCACCCCGGGGTGCCAACTGAAGCGTTAACCTGCTCTCTGTTTTCTTTGGCCGCGGACTGACTGACGCAGGCTGAAGGGCTCCGTGACTCCTGCAAGTCCTTCACAATGATGCGTGCCTTCTCGTCAGTGAGAGCAATGAACCATGCGAAAATGTTCACTGAAATGTAGGCACCCTTCACTGTGCAGCTATGTGGGCACTGTGTGTGTGTGTGTGTGGGTGGGTGGTCTAAAGTTTAGTCAATTAAGATTGTTTAGACTCTAAACAATCTTAATTGATTAGACTAATCCTATGGGGTACTATTGTGTACTTTAAACATAAAGGTGCATTCAATTAATACTTAGTTATAGAGATAAAACAATGTTTTTCATGCGTGTAGGTGTGTGTGTGTGTGTGTGTGTCTCACCATATGCGGCTCTTGTCCCGGTTGGCACTGAGGGCAGGCCTGGCAACTGTTGCTGGTCTGATTGAAAAACTCGTACTCCTCCACAGTTGGAATACTCTGCACTGGCAAACATACAGCACAACTGGAGGGACAGACATGGGACACCAGAGAGAAAGACAGACGTGAAAAGTGAGACTTTGAACATGAAATATCAATAAGCATCTTTATGCATTATAACAAACATGCTACTAGCTAATGTTTACTGTTTTTTTTCGTAGATATTTATTTATTTGGGGCGTTCATTGTAACGCGGATTCATCTGCTATTTTCTTAAGTGATTGATCAGTTGTTTGTTTTGTTGTACATAAAATAAAGAAAATAGAAATGCAAATTGAGTTTAAAGTGGTATCCTCAAAATCCTCAGTTTAGCATAAATTGTATATATGTTGGGTGGTTAAATGTTTGAATGAAATATTGTATGCATCATATTGTCCTTTTTGTATTGTCCTTTTGAAATATTGTATGCATCATATTGTCTTACTTTGTAAACTGTATCTTTAAGATAACTAAAGAAAAAAAGGACAATACCTTCCCTGTAAAAGCTTTACAAATTCATATATATGAATAGAGACATTCAAATTCATAATAATAAAGTTCCATCCCATTTATACGTAAGCAAAGTACTGAAACGCGTCATCCACTGACACATCGATACCTCAGTTCCTCTCCTGTGCTAAAAGACAATTTGTTACTAAGAAAGCACCGCTTTTCTGTCAATTGTTAGCTATTGTTCTACATATTCCCCGGTGACGTAGTCTCTCTCTCCCTCTCTAGTACATTTCTGATTCGGTCATGTAGTAAATTGACCCCCGTCCTGAAGTGCTCCAGAGTCGGCCTGCATGTGTGCTGGCGGTGACAGACAGGAATACAACTGCGGAGAGAGGAAAGATAAGGGGGAGGAGCCTCTCGGGACGCCTGCCAATGGGATCAACATCGACAAAGGCAGAGAATCTCTAGATTCCCAGTCGGGCTATAACAATATCCGCTCTATGCAAAACTCAAAAGGTTTGACTAATTGGTACAAGTTCTGCAAAGTTGTGCAAGCAGCTGGCAGACAACAGCGAGCGTCTGCGTGACGCAGTGCCAAGTGGGGAGTAGATCGTGGCGCCGATCCAAACCCACGGACTAATACGGGTTCCTGAGGACACCAGAAACAGGATGACTGGCTGACTGTTGCAAGGAGGAGAACAAAAAAAGAAGGGAGGATGGCGGAGGAAGACAAGGAAGACAGGAAGAGACGAGGAAAAGCTGAGAAACGGAGGAGGACAGATAAAAGACCGCCGGGGGGAGAAAGTGAAGTCTGAAACGTCTGAAATTGGTTTGAGATTAGAACCGTATGAAGAAAGGAAACACAGGATAATTCTTTAAGGATCATTAAAGGAGGATGAGAGGGAGAAAGCAAAGGCTGAACTCACCAACAACGAGGACAGAAAGATGGACTTCTTCTGACTTCTCCTCTCTGACATGTTTGCTTCTTCTTCCTGGAGGCCAGAGACAAAGAGAAAAGGTCATGAGGCAAACATTCTCTTCAATCGGCCTTCTGCTAGCAAACTAACCGAAGGTTCCTGCTGTTTTCAGTGGGCAAAAATACCACTGTCTGTGTGTCTGTGTGTGTGTGTGTGTGTGTGTGTGTGTGTGTGTGTGTGTGTGTGGCACAGATACCATCACGTCATCGCCCGTAAACACGTAATAGCTACAGAAGTACCTCTGGCTCACATCCCCGCTGGCTAACCTCTGCCTCAATAGAGGATCGTGATTTCACTTAACAATTATCTGCTTATGGCTTCGCTGCGTCGCTCTCAGCCACAGCGTCAAAACAAAACCTGAACTTTGTTGCAACGCCAAAAGAAACAGCTCTCAAGTCTGATTTAACTCCAGCTGACAACTCTGTTGCAGTTCCACAGTAAAAAAAAAAAAGAAGAAAACATTTAGTAAACAGTTGAGATGCTGTTTGAAATCCCTTCACACACACACACAGTGGCTGTGACGTTGTCGTTGAGTAAACACACAATAGTGTGTTTGTTTTGTGAGTTATCAAATGATGGCCGCTTTTTACAAGAGCAACACTTCATAAAAGTACGTGTCAATTTCTTTCATTGAGGAGTAAACATGAACACACGGTAGGTTTGCGTGTTGGTGTGAGTCCGTGCGCCGTTGTGCGCTGATGTGGTATTGCTTGTTTATTGCATCTGCAAGATTGGGCCTGTGCTGTGTTTAACCTCCCTTTGGTCTGCACTGCAGGTGAGCGTCTGTGTGTGGCTATATGTATGTGCGTGTGTGTGTGTGTGTGTGTGTGCATATAATGTCGTCACTGTAATTGAAAGGATATGGCTGGCTGTGGTCCTCTGCAGAGAAGTAACCCTCAAGCAGTGGATTGAACGCAATGAGCTCAGAATCACTCACACAAAGGCTCTTTTTTCATAGTCATTTAAAATTTGCACCGAAACCTAAAATCGATGTGTGCACGCTCGCTGTGCGTGCATACTGTGTGTGTGTGTGTGTGTGTGTGTGTGTGTGTGTGTGTGTGTGGTCTCTGACAGGGTGGCAGCCCAGAAAGGAGCCTCCTGAGTGAACGCTGCTTCTATCAGCTGCAGAGCTGCTTGGTGTTAAATGGATCCAACAATACATGTGTTGTTCTTCTTTGATTTGCTTCTAGTGTACAATTAATCACACAGTTACATTCAATATTCTAAACGCCGGCGTATCGTTGTCATATCGTTGTCAATAAGGCCTTTAGCGAGTCTAATGCGCAATAACTTCAATTTACCAAGTTTGCTAAACTTTCTTGCCTTTAAGAAGGAAAAAAAAAGACGTCAAAGGTCACTGTTTCAACGGGTTTTCCAATGATTAATACCAGACGTGGCAATGAGAAGCGGATAACCACAAAAACAAAACGCATAACAAAAGAAAGAAATGAAATTCATACCAGATCCATATTTCATATCTAGTTTCCCATCTTCCAAATTAGCATTCATTTTATGTTTGTACCCGATCCAATAAGCATGCGCTCATTCACTCACAAACGCACCTTTAATTGCTGTTATCAAGTACAAGTCTCATCAAGTCTCTTTCAGTGATTACTTTAAACTCACATTGGCCCAATGTACCACACAAATAGAATTTTGTAACTGTTTTTTATCTTATCTACATTTTTCATAAATATATATTCAAATAATAATAAGTATGCCAGGGGGAACAGGATGAGTGATAATCTATTATTTATCCTTTGTGGTGTGAGGAGTTTGACAGCCCAGCAAACGCTGTGGGAGGTCGGAGTCTTTATAACAACAGACAGCACTGCTTTCTATTAACCATGAAGGCTCCCCGACCTTCCCCACGTAGAGCCAGCTGCCAACCCTGACATGTCCTGCGTAGGAAAATAACGTTACCGTGTTCACTTGTGTCCCCAAAGGACAGATCAGAGAGAGAAGAAGAAGAAGCAGCCGGTATCTGACGTGTAAATCTGTACGTCTCCAAACCTCTGATTTCACTCTTGTGAGAAGTGAGGAACCTTTTGATCTTCGACGATGGCTAATCCCCCGACCGCCAGGGTTTGATCTCGCTTAATTACGGCCTCCACATACCAGCACACGGCAAACACACGCGCGCATTAACGCGATTAAGATTTGGTGTATAAATACGCACGTAGCTGGCTTCTGAGGGCAAAATAGGCTTAATTGCACAAGTCCTGGTGGTAAGACCACAACCGGTGTTTGTGTGTGTTCATGTGTGTGCGTGTGCATAGGAGCTGTGGGTCGCTGCCGATGAGATAAAAGCGTAGACAGTATTTCTTTTTTTTTTGAACAGGAAATGAAGAACTGCCTGTGGGACCCCCTCCAGGCTACTCATTATGGGGTTAAAGTGATATTATGCACACACACACACACAAGTGTTTGAAGACTCTTCTGGGTCTTCTGACACTGTTGCACCTCTTTACACCCTCACTCTGTCGGGGCAGGTCTGAGATGAAAGTCAGCCCGTCTTTTGCCCCCCTTAGGGCATTAAACCTCTGACGACCACATAATCTCCGATAAATAACCCTCCTGACTTCAGCGGTGTCATTAACAGAAAACGCAGTTCTCTGCAGCACAGGACGAGCGGGTGGATCAATTTTTTGTCTGCTGAGAAAAATGTTTTTAAAAGGATTCATTTTTGCAACATTTCCTTTTAACCCATTTTGCCCTGTCTTCATCTGTTTTCTTATTGTGCTTTCGTTTGCTTTTTTTTAAGCAATATGACATTATACATACAGCTATGGGAAGCCGGTTAACTCTGCTTCATTAAATAAATGCACATTAACAAACCCATTGACTTAAAAAATCCATACAAAACAATTTAATGAACGAAGGAACGAATTGGATCGCGTATAAAAGGTTCCCTGGCCTACAGTGACAAGCGTACTGCCTTAATAGCGCAAACTTCAAAGCAGAATTAAGTCCCAATCGATATGGACTGCAGCTAAATACGACAGCCAAATGTGATGGACTAAGCTGGAAGACGTTATGAGGACGATTAGACCCCGTAGGTGAAAGGAGCCGATGGAAATACCCATAGATCAGCTTGTAGCGGCACATTGAGCAGACAGTTCATGCAAAGTCCCTCCACTCCTCCGCCCGTACCTGCCAGTCAGCCCCTTGTGCTCGTCCGAGTGCTTGTTTTCATTGTGCGAATGCTGCAGACCTCACTGCGTCAGCATGCTGTGTGTTCCTTTTGATGAATAGAGCATCAGTTGGGTTTGAATGTGAACATTTTTTGGGGTGATTAGTTGTTTCTAGCGACAAAAAGCGACTGTTCACTATTTGTCGCAGGATTAGTTTGTGAAAGTTCAGTATTCAGAAAATCCAATATCAATAGGTGTTTTTCACTGAATAACTTGATATCCCTAATGGGACCATATTGTACGTAAAAAAACAACAAGAACAGTCTGGTAGGTTCAGATATTACATCACACATTTACATATATGTACATAAAAAAATCTAACGTCCAAAATTTGACATTCGAATATTATTACAATATCGTAGTTCCAACCATCTTTGATTTGATTCCTAGTGAAGAATGAGGCAAATTCTTAAGTAGAAGTAGGAGCTTTGGCATCTTTAAATGGTACCAAACCGCTAATGAGTGTTGAACTTTGCTCTGTCTGCCTCTTTCTCCTCGTCTCATTGATTTAATTTCATTCGTTGATTTCAATGGGACATAAAAAGCCAAATGAGTCTCTTTTAAAGACTAAACTTGGACCGCGTGGGAAACAACGTTTCCCCATCAGCGCATTTAACCTTGTAATGTCGATCCATCACGCTGGTTGGTAATGACTTCCTGCCCTCTAAGGCAATAAGCCAATCAGAGGAGAGGGAACTCAGCCAGGAAGCAGACCGACAAACCGATCAGGGATGAGGTTTTGGGGGGGGGGGGGGGGGGGCGCGCCTCTCTCCTCGACTTACATTTCGATGACCATTAAATTCGCAGCATGTGGGGGCCCAAGGGGCCTTTGTATTCTGGGTTTGGGTTTTTCTAAAAGGAAAAACTGGGTCCCCTTTGAAAACCCTTTCTTTCTTTAACTTTAACTTGTTTTTTTTTTTTTCAAGGCCACCTCCTCCCGTATCTTTTAACATCTTAAGTGCAAAGATAACAAGTTACTGGACTGTTAATGCCAATATTGTTGGACTGATGCTACTGCAGCTGATGATTTTTGCCAGTATTAGGCTGCTTTGGCCATTTTTTCAGTTTTGATGTCTCTAACTGTCTCTAATATGTATATATATAAATATAGCCTTGGTCTATCCCAATGCTGGAATGTTGATTATAATAATGATTATTATTATGAATTCACACAATTAAGTGTGTTTGTAGGTCAAACACAAAGCAGAAAACCATTAATATTGTGGATTTCCCCTCCATCAAGTCTGTCACTTACACCTCCACCAGCTCTGGTCAACTCCCTCAAATAAACATTCATTTTGATGTATATTTTAATCGACACACTGGATGGTTGTGCCTGTGATCCATCTACATCCTTTGATTTGTTTCTTGTCAGATTGGCACTCAGATGAAGGCTACAAAAAACACCCACCATGAAGTAAACTCATTGGTGAAATATCGAAATATATCATAATCAGAGAAACTCTTCTTACAATAGTCTGTAATCATCAGAGAAAGAAATGAGACATTTTATTCAAGGATAATAGCATGTCATTAACTGAACAGCGACCATAATCATCTACCTGTGCTTGCAATAATCCGCCTGATAAATGTCAAAACCTCAGCCGACTGAATTGTGCGTTCAAGAATTTGGCCAAACCACCTTTAAGTAATCATAAGTGCCCCCCCCCGCTGTCTTTCTTTTCACAGGTGAATTACGGAGGAGGAATTTGCTGCTGGCACTTTGGTCTTCTTCTTCTATGATTCTGAGGCAGCTGCGGAGCAAATGGATGGGTGGTGGCCCGCGCTGTCACTCAAACGAGACCGACCGCTTTCACCGGGGCTCGAAACCTGCAACAGAACCCCCTGATTGGAGCACCAGCTTTTAAAAACAAAAATGACAATGTGCACTAATCATTTTCACCAGCTCAGGTCGGTGGAGCGTTGCACGGCTGACATGTTTGTTAATGTGGGTTCCCTGAAGGAAACAAGGTAGCCATCAAGGCAACTAAATGAGCCAGAAACAGAGGAGTTTAATGTGCGCCGTAATGAGCGCCTAAGTTTGATGTGAAAACAAAGCCATGATTAAAGTGAAGCCCCGGCCAACAGCTGGCCGTCGTATGGGGACTGAACCCCGGTCAGGGAGTTGGGATTGGCTTTGTGTAAATCCTTGATTATTTAAATACAGTGTGCAGAAAACCATCCCACCTCCGTGGACAGGGCGGCGCGTGGCTCCTTCGTCCCTCTTTATCTTTCGATTTCTTTAATTACAGACTTTTACCGTCAGCTTCCCAGAAAAAACAAACTCCTACGGCACATGAAAAGAAGTCACACACACACCACGCACACCACGCACACCACGCACACCTACCCCAGCTCCACTCAGTCAGTATGGCGCTTTGATTCTGTGCCTGCCGGTGATCTGTCTCTTATCGCCCCCCCCCTCCTCCCTCCCTCTGATCCCTTGTTCCCCTCTTCAGCTGCGCCGGGGCAGAACATCTCCCTGTCTCTGTTTATTCTGCAGTGGTTGTAGGTGGGAAGCCTGATCTGCAACCATGAATCCGTCTGTATGTCTTACTGCTGCTGTCAGAACAAGTGAAATCATAAGATCAAGTAAGAGTTTTATTTACTTTTTGGGGGGGAGGGCGGGGGAGGCACTGTTTTCTGTGATTGATAGATGATAGGCTAGACGTGATGGTCATCTGAGGCCTTTAAGGTTACGTATGGACGATACGGAACCTTAAAGCACTCAAAGACTAAAACAATCACTGAAACATTTCAGTAAAACAAATCAGTAGTGTACATTTCAGTTTGTCAAAATTTAAACAGTAAGCCGTAGTTGTGTGTTTTCTCCTTAAAACGTAATCGGAGGGCTCTTGTGGTCTTTCTTCTAGTCGGATCGTTCGCTTAGTCCGAGCAGCTCGTCATGACGAATGAAGGGATCTTCGAGGCACAAAGCCTCATCAGCCCATTGAAAAAGTAAAGACTCGAGTTAATCACTTACTTAGAGGCTTGAGAGTTGCAAACCGACCGAAGCATCAATGCCTACTTCTGGTAATGTGCACTTTTAACCTGCCACCAGCAACAGGGCGGATCCCACACCAGGTCCTGCAACCAATCCGCACAGGTGCCTCCGCCGACAACACAACGCCCCACCAGCCATTACTCCACCAGAAGACACCACAATTTGGTTTTCAGCACACAACAATTTACATTGCTTTCGTCTTGCAGAAACTCTTATATATGAATCATGAATTCCAATTTTTCAGGATCTCCCCGACTACTTCTGCTTTTGCACAATGTAAGGCACGGAGTGCCGGATCTTCCACCGCAGTCTCTGCAGAGAATAAAAAGACGAGTAACTGAAGGAGGGTGCAGAGGATTCTTTAGCAAGTGAGGCGACAATTTGATTGAACTGGTTCCCTGAGGCCTGCATGCATTTCTACAGTGGATTTAGTGGTGGTTTGCCTGCCTGCATGGGTATATGACAATGGTGAGAGTGAAAGCCATGATTAGAAACGGCTTACTCTTCTGGCACTATATGAACACTTGAACGTAATGAGATGCAGCTATCTCCTCCTTTTTATGGGGACGTTCTGTGAGTCCTGGTGCTTGTGTTATGTAGCAGTATTTGTGTTGTCAGATGCCTTTTGTTTGCTCTTTTCGAGAACACCTTGCATCAACCTGGGCCCTACAGACTATCAGCGTCAAATACGGAACCTCGGGATACGGATTTAGAATATACTGCTAATCATAGATCAAACTTTAGCCTGGACTTTATCAGGGAATTATATCTTTGTTCATCTATAGCGAGCATGGTAAGATCCCACTGAAACGTAAAACATGTTAATCTCATTTATCAAATTGTCACATTTGATGTTTTTCTATAAAAGAAAAGAATAATGCACATCATAGGAACTACTCCTTTCTTTAACTAGTAGACCTTAAATGAGTATTTATGTGAAGTCTCTGTGCCAAAAAAAGTAAATGTGAGAGCCCCTGTAGGGATGAAATTGACACTGACATTTTGGATCATGACAATGAATCATTTGCTCAGATGATTATTACAGTTGACTTAAAATGTAAACGATTCTTGCACATTGGACAGGGCGTGGCAAATAAAAGCCTGATTAAGTCGTAACCCTAATGAGCTAAAACAACTTCACTTCCTGACGTAAACCTTCTGACTGCGTTTTCATGGAGCGTTATGGAACATTTGACCCCCAACAGGCCTCCTGAGCTCGAAAAAAGAGGAAATTGAATATGCAGAGTGGATTGGAATCAGCTGTGACATGAATCTCAACAACAACTTTCACGTTAAAAACACAGGAGACCCTTTTCCCCCTTTGATGACATCGCCACAAGATGAACTCTACATGGGGCGAGCATTAAGCGACAATCAACCAGGTCATCTCCTCGCCTCCAGTCTGGTGCGGGATGATCATGACTACAGGCGCTGCCTGGCTTTGTTACCTTTTTTTTTCTACCTTCATCCCTTTAATCCTCAGAAAGCGTATTAACTTCTTTTGAAGATGAGTTACACTCACTCCCCTGTTTCTGCTCAGCGCCTCCTCCGCCTCTCTACCTGCGAACATGAAAGATTCAATGGCAGCGGAGACGAGCTGCGCTGGGGGCTGCAGGTGGAGAGAGAGACACAGATATAGAGGGGTAGAAAGGGAGAGGTGGGAGGTGGTGTGTGTGTGTGTGTGTGTGTGTGCGGGGTGGAGGGGAGGAGAGAGAGGGGGGTGGGGGAGGGGGGGGTGGAAGGGGTATAGACGGATTGATTTCCACCTCCAGCAGCTACAGTTCAAAGCCAGCCAGCAGACTTCAGAGGGCTCGGCAGGACCCGGCACGTCCCCAGCCGGGCCGAGCTGCCTGTCTGCGGGCAGGACTTCCCCCCCACCCCCCAGGGGCCCCGGGGCCCGGGACAGCCAGGCGGCACCAAGAAAACAATTATGCAGACGGGGGGGAGAAAGGTGTGCAGGGTCACACACTCGCTCAAACACACAGCCGTAGATAGATACCGTCTCTCAGGCAAACTCCCCGACAAAAGCACAGAGGATTATTGCGTTAGGATGATTGTGTTATCATCACAATATAATAACGCAAACGCCTCTGCAAGTACTCTGTTCACACTGATCGAAACCATCACAAGAGAAGGAAGTCAGTCACGTCCGCAGCATATTTGGGATTTTAAAAAGTCCCAGTGGTGTCATGAAGCGATCCAGCCTGAACAGTGAAGCTGGTGATGTGAGAAAGCATCTCGTCTGTCTCCCACCTTGGGCTACAAACTTTGCACCGACACGCACAGAAGCTGTCACAAACTTCAGAATGCATCTGGGGATTTGCCTGTTGCACACAGACTGCACTTAAAAACGCATTCGTTTGTTGTTGCAATTATTAATACTCAATTATTTCTTCTCCAATATAATCCACTTGACAAGTCGTAAGGCAATATCAATCAGCCCGTGCAATGAACGAGATGTCATCTAAATAGCAGCGTTTAACAGCATTTTTTGACACAAAACATTAATAAGCATTTTTTAAGAACCTAGATGTTGTGTTGCTGTTTTTTTTTACGTGCATCCGCAGTGTTTCTGTCCGAAACCCTGCATACAAAAAAAGGAATGTCACCTGCTCATTTTAGGTAAAACTATGACAACGAACACTTATTTTTTGTGGCATGCATAACAGTCTAAGCATAGCTCAGGAATTTCCCAGCGGTCTTGCAGAAATCCGTCCTCGCATTCCAGGCAGCGGAGCCGCTCACGCGTCTTACCTGGAGCTCGGAGAGGGGCGCACGCTGGTTCGGTTTCTCCGCGGCACCGCGGGATCTGCTGACAGGGCGGATCAGGCGGGGCGGGGGGAGGCGATCAGTCCCTGACGATCGGTGATCAATCACTGGCGTGGTGTCGGATAAGCATCGCCGAGGGGGGCACCGGCTGTCTGTGAGTTTTTACTCAGTCCGAGTTTGTCCTCTCAGCCTCCACTGCGCTGCATGTCGGTGTGTCTGCAGACTCCTCCTTGATGAGGAGTAAAGGAGGAGGGGGGTAAAAAGCGAGAAGTTTTCTCCGCCCCCACAGATTAACGTGTACGGTCTGTTGTCCCAGGTAGACGCTGGGCGTCGACAATTAACGGGCTGCAGGCTGCGACCCAACTGCGCCATCTAGTGGTCACATGCATGTAGTGGCTATTTACTATATTATTATGGGCCTATACGTTTGCTTTACTGTACACCTTAAAAATTATATATAACTCTATGAATGTGTGTTTTATACACTGGGCAATGCGTTTCATATAAAGGCTATTATATTATCAAATCATTTTCCTATTTTTCATGAATAACTTGGAAATGTTTACACAGCCTGAATTGATATGTTAGAAATTGCTCATTCAAAAGCAGCAGAATATCACATTATATATTTTGTGTATATATGCAGAATGTACTGATGCATATTTTTGCCACAATGACCACCTTTACTACCACTACAATTTCTGTTTTGGTATAATTGGTTTTGGTGCAGTACAGTAAAAACTGAATATGTCGTGTCAGCAGAAACGAACATATAGGAAGACATGTACTAAATATAAATATTAACCACAGTATTCACAGGTAGGTAGAGACAAGTTGTTAATATCTCTATTAGTGTACTTTACATGAAGGCCAGCAACACACACACACACACCAGCATGTTGTTTCGGATGGTAAACTGTCTTTGAAACACAAGCTATGAATTAGTTTGAGTGTGTGACTTTGTTTGTGTGGTATAAATGACTGGTGCCTGTTGTCTGAGTCGGACTAAAGCTTGGACTTTAGTTCTTCTCCTCCTCCTCCTCCTCCTCCTCCTCCTCCTCCTCCTCCTCCTCATCTTTCTTTCTGCTGCTTTTGTTTCTCACATCCACAGGAAGGGTGAGATAAAAGAGGGGCTTTGAAAACACTGGGAGTCCTGTAATTACTCCCTCTCCCTCTTCCCCCCCCCCCCATCCCTACTCTTCTCTTTTTTTTCTGCATCGCCATCGTCTACCTCCTTCTTGGTAACCCTCTCATCCGTCCTTTCACCTTCTCTGTCGCTCTCTCAGTCAGACTCCCTCTCCCTTTCTGCATCCACTTCTTCTCTTCTTCCTCTCTCTCCGTCTCCCTCTTGCTTTGAGCGGCTCATTGATGTCGATCCAGGGGCTTCCTGACTGAAAGGGAGGATGAGAGGAGAAGAGATTAGATGAGAAGAGAGGATAAAGAGAGGATGAGGAAAGGATAACAAGAAGACGGTCACAGACCTGACAAAAAAAAAAACATATTAAGCAAAACCTTTATTTACCACGGTGGATGTCGTAACACAAAACACAAGCAAGATAATCTACATGGACGGAAATCCGGTATAAAAAGATATGATGTGTTGAGATAACGGGACACTATGAGCCACTACAACGAGGCATAAAGTGGCAACACGGATTTATTAACATCCGATGTGATCAGATGAATGATTATTTAATAAAGACACATAGTATAGAATAGTATAGGATTACAGTTACATGCTGAATAATACCTGTGGGGGAATGTGGTTGTTGCAGTATTAATTAGAATGATACAGCAACACATATTGTTATGAGTTATGACAAACAGCATTAATGATAGAGAAATATATTTGAAGATTGTTGTTTTGAATCCTCTGGTCCATACATTCAGATATTGACATTAACACTTTAAGTATTCACTTTTTGAATGCTAAGTGGAAGAGAGTAACTTTTTTTAAATATTTCTAGTTCACCCAATATATTAGTCTTCATGTGCTGCCTTCCTCTTCTATTTAACTATCTATTTATGTGTCTGCTTTTACTAATATGCGCTGGACAAATGCGGTTTGGACTTATAGTTCTTTCTCCATGAACATGTGTTATCATCAGCAGCATGTGTGTTGAAACTCTCAGGTCGAGCGCGTTGGAGATCAGAGTTGTTAAGATTCGGCGGTAGAGCAGCTGTCACACACGGCCTAGCCGGTCTAACCCTCCCTCAGCTCCACATCAAAGTACTGTAGCTCAGAGGAGACGGCAGTCAGTGGAGGCCTAATTTACTGCTTGGTGTAATGGGTAAAAGGGTCAATTCAATTTGCAGCAAAATCTTTAAAAGCAAACTTCCTCTTGCTTTTCATGTTGCCCCAGAAGAAGAAATTGAAAATGTGCTCTCACTCGTTTGAACTCTTCAAAGATGAAATCACTGCATTATAGAAAATGTATGACATTTATATTGATATTTTTCTCCTCATATTTCAGATACATGTTAAGAACTAAATAAGTTCACATTACTCACGGTATATCTACAATATCTACGATTCAATGCCACATTCCCACACAACAAAGTAAAAGAGAGGTCAAATGCATCACAACCCCAGGTGACAAAAAAACAGTGACATGTTGACCAGAACTTTTGCTGTAACCCTGCTGAAATAATAATTACCTGAAACTTTGATAGTGCTTTTCCATTGTAAGACCACATGAATGCTGAACAAATGGACCTTCCACAGCCCCTTTGGCCTTATTAGCACCCCAGTTAGTTCCCCCCCCCCACCCCCACCATGCACATTGTCTGTGAGAACACACTCACATTCTCTAACTACTGTTCAACAAGGAAGCAAAGAGCCGGTTGCCATGGTAACTGCAGTGTCAGCTAACCTACTTTTGCATGAAGGAAGGACATTGGTCGATGGGAGAGAGGTGCACGGTATAGGTACATAGAGAAGACACACACACACACACACACACACAAAACGCACAATACATATTCATTACATCTGATCGTCTCGGGCAATCTTTTCCCAATTAGTGGGAGAACGCCTGTGTCTGCAGAGAAATGATTGAATTGACTGAGAAGTATTATTGATGTTAATGATGTTAAAGGACACACCAGGAGTACGTGGAACTTTGGTGAACCCTGTAGGTTCATACTGGCTGCTGCAGAAGAGAAAAAAGACACAAAAACGAATACGTTATGCATCTGTTGTCGAGTCCACTCAAGTTTATTTTTTTATTCCATCATCACAGGAATTTCCCAAAGGACACCATTCAATTATAAAATAATGACCTTTTATTATTGCAGACAGTGTGGTGAAGTATTCAGCATAATACAATTCAGAGCATAAAACATAAAAAGGCCTTACCGACTTACCTCGGCGAGCCTTGAGCAAACCGGCCACCACTCACTGACTCGACCCTCAGCAAGGAAAATAAACATGCAATTTAAAAATGGTGAGGGAGGAAACTGCACACAAGGAGGGCTTAGCTTGCCATAATGTGCTGGTCGGGGGGCCCACACAGTCTGGGCATGAACATTACTGTTTTAAATGCGCTATCGATAGGTAGATAGAGTGTGTGAAAAATAACATTGTGCACGAATGCATCGTCTAAAAGTAACCATTACCTTATCATGACAACTTTAAAATATACATTTACGTGGAAGAAAACTTCACACCTTCGAAAGGCTGGCTACCATCCCTATCTGACCCCGTCTACTCTTTAACAGCATCCCCCTCTTGTGTGTTATTGACAGCGCCGTGCGTCCCACAGGGGGCGCTTGTTCGCATCTCCCTGCATTTCCCCTCTAATTCTGAATCATTGGCTGTGGAGAATTGTGTTAAGCAGATGAAACACGCTGGGCATGAGACATGAGTGGATGTGATAAAGAGAGAGGCAGGAGACCATGAATTAAGGGCTCGTTGCCAGCTCTTGTGGGCTGCTGCGCCAGCGAGGCGTCGAAAATCGGGGCTTCGAAAACAACAACAACAACAACAACATGATCACACGCGTTCTCAGTGGCTGAATCACTGTAGCGTTGCGATGTTCTGCAGCCACAGAGAAACCTGTGAGGAACGGCAGGTCTCCTTAGATGAAATGAAAGAGGAGCTTGGAAAAGCACAACACGTCTTCAAGTCATTACTGCTGCGAAGGACTTGACCTTCTTTCCTTCTTCTGGTTCCACCTCCAGCTGTAAAATATTCAATTTGTGCTGGTTTGTTGCGGAGCTGTGCAGCGGATACAACCATAAAAAAGTGACTGAAGGAGTTGATTATTCTGCGCTTCAGTCTCGGTTTAGTTCCATCACTTCACTCATTGTGTTACATGCATTTCCGCTGACATCGTTTGAACCAGCTGAATGAGGCTAATAGAGTCATTTAGTTCATTCCAAACTCAAATAAAACATTCACAACACTATAACCGTAGGTACTTTTTGGGGTAATGAAACACAACACACAAGTGTTTTAGTGTATAGCCTGTGGGTGGCAGACACACATACACACACACACACACACACACACACACACACACACACACACCTTCTCCCTCATTGTACGCCTAAGCAGTCTGATTTTCATCGTGGGTGGTAGATAGTGGGCCCACCCCTCAACCTGGAAGGCGTCACTGTGTCACACACTCACAGACACACACAGGGACACACACACACACACATTTGGCTCTATCACTCCCTACACCTCTAGGGCTGCATGTGAGAGGAGCAGGTCTGAACAGGTGGACGAGCATAAAGCAAGTCTGCAGTCACGGCTGAGAAACAACTCACACACACACACGCACACGCACACACACACACACACACACACACAAACGCACACACTATAATTACTTCTAATTTAAGTGAGTTGTGTCCGTCATATATATGACATGACAGCATTCATGAGTTTTTACCACAGCGTTGAACATTTCATTTCTTCTATATATTTTCATATATAGTATCGTTTATATCGCATCCTGTGTTTTTTAGTCCATGTGATCCATGTGATGGTGCAGCCTCGCCTGTGCAAAAAAAAACTCTTTGGAGAATTGTTCGAAACGGGGGAAACAAAACGATCAAATGATGTCCACCAGGAGTCGCTGAAACCCAACTTTATTTAAACAAATAGCAGTTTTTCAGCTGGATGTGTTGACTGAGACGATCCGCCTGTCAGCTGCGTGTCACGCGGCGAGACACACAACGCTTCATGATTCATTCTATGAGATCAACAAAAAGGCAAACTCAACCAAGCAAGCGCAAACATGAATGTTCCGTCCTGCTCACACTTGGGTCGCATCTCTAAACACTTAACATTGAATATGCGGTTGAAAAACTGCACAATGTGCCCGGCAATTTGTGTGAAATGACACCCAAATGTCGATTAAGTTTAGCAGGCGATCCTCGTGGAGGCTTAATAGTTTGTCTTGGTGAGCACCGGGATGACAGAAAAAAACTCCCGGACTGTGTGTGTTTTATTTGTGGAACCCGCCCGTGTGAGGAGAGGACCTGCCTGTCCCCACATCGTCCCCCTCTCTTATTCTCGCTCCCCTTCCTCCAGTTCCCATATCAATCTGGCTGTGGCGCGTGAGCGCGCACCGCAATTCGGATCGGCGCGCGGATGATGATGATGATGATGATGATGATGATGAGAGCGTGACCTCACCGCTTTCTGCACAGCTGCTGGATGGGGGGGATAAGGGGGAGACGCACACACACACACACTCAGAGAGGGAGAGAGGACGCGAGGAACAGGACCGCGTTCGCAACACAGTCGTGAGTGCGACGCGCGCAGGGGACTCCGTCGCGGGGCGTCCGTTGGCTGCTTCTCACCCCCCCACCCCCCCTTCCCCAACCGCCCGCCCGCCGCCGGTCCGCCTCCCAGGATGTTCTGCGCCCCCGGTTCCTTTCCACGGTACACCAACCAGTCGCCGCGGCGCCCCCACGGACACTGAAAGCCCAGATGCTCGCCCTCTCCGCGGACATGGACGAGTCCTCGTCTCTGCTGGATCTGCTGGAGTGCTCGGTGTGCCTGGAGCGCCTGGACACCACGGCCAAGGTGCTGCCGTGCCAGCACACCTTCTGCCGCCGCTGCCTGGAGAACATCGTCAGCTCCCGGAACGAGCTGCGCTGCCCGGAGTGTCGCATCCTGGTGGACTGCGGGGTGGACGAACTGCCGGCCAACATCCTGCTGGTTCGCCTGCTGGACGGCATCAAGCAGCGGCCCCAGCGAGGTGGTGGTGGAGGAGGAGGAGGAGCGGGCGGAAGGCTGTCCCTGGCCGGGGGCTCGCTGCAGGCGTACGCAGCCGGGATATGCGCTTCTCCCCCGGGCAGTGCGATCAGAGAGCTGCCCGTGGCCATCAGGAGCTCCCCTGTCAAGGTTGGTCACTTTCCCAGCGTCCACATGCGAGGGTATCGCGCTGAAACGGAACACTTCGCGACAACGCGATGCGTTGTCCATTACACAAAACACAATGACAACTTTCCAATGTCCGAATATTCAGACCGACTGTAGCATCAGATTGTTTCATCACCAGGATGAGGAACAAACTTGGCAGCAGAGAGCACATAATAGGACTTGGGGAGAGAGAGGGAGGGAGGATAAGTAAGCACAGAAGTGCGCTGTTGTGTCTTTGTCACTGTGGCACACTTTGGTATCATCGTGAGGAAACCGAGAGAGGATGGGAGGCTGAGATGGTCACCTGCCAAATGATGCTGTTGTTGCCACACAGTCCCCGTGAGGCCGGGGCGGCACCAGAGCTCTGCTGGAAGTCCTTTGGACTCAAATCGGAATAGATCATACACAACAAAAATCTTTAAAAATGTCAGGCAGTTGTGGTGAGATAGAAGCATCTAGTTTTACGGCAGTTTTGTTTCTCATATGGACACTTGAGGTGCAAAATCTAGGTCTGCAATTGAGTTTTCAATGATGCCTTTCAAACCGTGTTTGTGTTTTAACTCCTTTTTATAATATGACATGTCAAGCTTAGTGTTGCAGAATTAACATATTAGTTTATATAATATACACACTATGAAATCCCCAAAATATTCAATTCAAACGTCCATGAAAAACCCTGGTTTCATGTGAAATCTAAAAAAATGCATTGCAGAAGACACAATAGACATGACCTCCCCTCCTTCGTTTACATCACGTTGGGACTTGTCAAGACGGATGTACAGTATTTGTCTCGGCCGAGCTTATGTTTTGTGTTTCTTACTCCTAAAATGAAATGCTTTCCCAGTCCCTTACTCAGCACACCGAGACCCATCAGGCGAGCTAACCATTGATTAAAGCAGTGGACCGCTTTGGTGTGATGAAGTGCAGCAGCAGTGAGCAGTCACTCATTCATGGCGATGAACAGGAATCCAAACCCCCTGTGACATTTCCACTAACACTTAACACTCCATTTCAATCCACTCAATAAACTTTACCGCTCCCTGTAGGGCAATTTTGATGCCTGGTACATGAAGAAAGAACGCCATCATACAAAGAAGAAATGCTGCGATATAGGGATCATTTTTTTTAAAAAAAAAAGTGCCAAACTGACTTAACTAGAGCCAAAGTTGAAAAGTGGAACTTCACGATGTCATGAGTCAGAGAAGAGCAGCCGGTCCTCGCGCTGGAAAAGGACAAACAATGTGTTATTTCAGAAGTCGTAAGGCAGAAAGCGCATGAACCTCAAGAGAAAAGGAATTTAACGCAGAAGGAATTTAAACATGTCCCCACATGTACGGTCACACACGCACACAAAGGGACACACTCGCCCTTTTAGTGGCCAGTTTGTGTTTGTTTTGAGGAGCCGGTGGGGGAAGCACTTCACTCTATAGCCAGCCTTTATTGCCAGAGTGAACACACACACACACACACACACACACACACACACACACACACACACACACACTCACAACTACAAACCATTTACCCTCTGCAGTCCCCCTCAGTCACTTTGCTCGAGTCTCCTCGAGGCTCCCCCGGGACCAAGACTTGGTGATGAAAGTGTGAATTCATCTCCTCTAACAAAGGTGTGTGTGTAGGTGTGTGTGTGTGTAGGTGTGTGTGTGTGTGTGTGTGTGTGTGTGTGTGCACATTTGAATTTCCGGCCCCCTGCACCCAAAGACCAGGGGTCTTTCAAAAGGAAGTTAAATCTGACTTTGAGTGACACACACACACACACACACACACAGTTATTAAAGGAGTCACAGTGGTAACAAAGAGTAGTCCACGTCATGCATTCAGGGTCGTAGATAAGAATGAAAGTGTTGCTATGGAAAAGAAGAAGAGCCACACATGCTGAGTCAGATATTCCCAATACTGTGACACTGTAATCTGGGTGATGGGACAGGACACGTTTGTGAGAAGGGTAGTGTTTTTTTTCTACTGCTTCTCCTTATTTTAGTGAGAATGGGAAAAGATGTTCATCAGGAATCAGTCTCAGTTTGGCCTCTCTGTCAATCAAGTGGTGGCGCTTCAACTGATCGACTCAGGTCATTTGCAAATTGTCATTTACGTGAGCAAGAAAGTATATAAAAATGAACATAATTGCCATCAAAGTCTTCATTGGTTGTGTCATTATACCGGAGAGGTAATGTTCCATTTCCTGACATTACACTGATGATGTGATTGTTACCCATCATCACACCAGCCGATACTGCACATCTCCTGAAGCTGTGGTGACTGTCTGTGTTAGCTGATCATCCCTTAAAAAAGCTCCCTCCAATCTGAGCCTTCAGGTGGAGGTATGTGTGACTGCTCTTTGTTGTATATGCCCACAAGAAAATCCCTTTTCAGAGAGTGTTTTTCACGTTTTAAATGTGGCTGCGTCTTTGCGCCGTGAGTCATTCTGCACATTGTTTGCCGAATCGTAGCTGTGGGCAAATGAAACGACTAAAGAGCAGTGCACTTGTAGAAACAGTTCACAGCGTTATGGTGTCACCCGTCCGCAGGTTGAACACGAGTCTCGTGCATTGATGATTTTCTTTAATTGGACTGAAATCACATCTGAACATCTGAGATTTTACTGGTCATTGCTTGTTGCTCTTTAAGAGCGGGTGACATATGGATTACGTTGTTTATCTTTTTACAGCTCTGTGACTAAAGCGTGTTCCTGCTGGTTGTTCATAAAGCTGATCTGTTTTTCTGTTCATCATCTTTCAATTTTTACAAGCGTCTGGGTACGATTTATTCAGCTGTCTGCTGAAAGTATTGAACTCATGTATTTTGATCACTTTAATCTTCAAAATGGGACAAGAATCCAGTAAATCCCCCATGTTACTCTCAGATACGAGCCGCTATAATGGGACTCTAGAGCTCTGAATGTCCCATCAAAGACACCCAATGGAGTACCAATCAATAATCAAATATGTATTCAGTCCAACTGCGGCACATTCACCGAACCCATTGCAATGTTCTCCGTCCACTCCACTTGTTCCCACAAGGCAGTGTGCCGTATAATCACAACCCTTTGATCCTCTCCCACACCTGTATTTAGCGGGGACGCCCGCGGTTACCACGGCAACATACAGCTGCACCGGCACTACCTGGTTTGCCCTGTCATTCCCACGTGTGTGCGTGGTTGTAGTGATCCTTTGAACTTTTGTGTCTTCAGGGTAGCGTTGCACTAAGGACACGTGGCTGAACCGATACCCGGTCTTTTCCAAAAATGTGAACATACAGTGTTGAACTTTCCAAAAATCCTCACTGAAGCCCCGCAGATGTAGAAATTCACACACACACACACACACACACACACACACTCGAGCTCTACGGCTGGCTGTAATCTTGATACCTCTCACACCTTTACAATCACACACGCGTGAGGGAGAAAGCCTCCGTAGCAGTAAATAACAGGCCCTCGGTCGTTACTTCCATATTAACTCCTCACTCCATGAATCCTCAACGACGGGCTGACACTGTGAAAAGCACACGCGCGCACACACACACACACACACACGTACAAACACACACACTCACAATTCATCTTCTGAAGTCAGGGAGTATCTCTCTGGACACATTTTCTCCCCCCTTGCCTGCGTGTGGGTTTAAGATCTCTCTCTCTCTCTCTCTCTCTCTCTCTCTTTCTCTCTCTTTGTCGTCTCATTTTTCTTTTTCAACCCAGATTGTCAAATGAACTTGCAAATGCACAAACACATCTTTTTCCTCTGTCGCTCTTTACTCATTCTTTCTCATCTTCCTCTGGCTTTTTCTCTGATGTTTGTGTGAAGAGAACTTCATTAATTTGGGTTTTACCACGTAAGGAAATTTGCACTCACATAGACACACACACGCAAACACACACACACACAGACACACACTCACTCACACACGTGCACATGCTGCCATTTAAGTATGCTTTGTGCTATTTGGTGCTACGTAAGTTTGTGTATGGAAACTGTTGTGTTCATGTTCATGTTCATGCTTGCATTTTTATTTTTTACCTGAAGAAACTATTTGATTTTTAACAGTTTGCAATGAAGCTGATCACAGCCATTATTCAACATTTTGTAGTTCAAACCTCCTTCGTGTTGTTGACTGAGTAAATGTTTCCTTTATTTCTATCATCCTGGCAGAGCTTCTTAAAGTGCATTTATTTTTACTCCCTCGCAATAGAGGCGGTACTAAATATACATTACAAACGGGAATAATTAAATCCCATTTGCCAGCGAATCAATGTTCACTGGAAATTGGTGAATTATATGTAATAAACAGAGGATTGATGGAAGGAGCTCGGACAAACATGATCCTCTTTCGGCAGACAGAGCTCAATCTCATCTGCCCAACACCATCCCGTCACCGGACCGGCTCGCATGTCCCCAGCATGGACCGTCATTACATGTCAGTGTCGCGTCTGTGTTGCCCTAAATCCTGGTGATGTCATCACACATTAGTCTCATCCTTGGCCAGTCCATCATCCCGCTCATACAGATTTGGAGATGGACGGCGGTGGGTCGGATGATTGATGGAGGGAGGCAGGGTGGCGGCCGAGGGCAGCTTATTGCCCTGGTGATGGTGTAATGAGATAGTGTGTATGTGTGTTGTTTAGTTTGGGGGGCTGTTCCATAATAGGTGTCAGAGCCTAAACAAGCTTTGGAGCTTGACTTCCATTCCCACGGGTGTATGGATGGAATTCCATCCATCCCATCCCCCTGCTGGGCGCACACACACACGCACACACACACACACACACACACACATACACACACACACACACACACACACCTACTCACACATTAGGTTAGGGGTTAACCCCCTCACTGGTTATTTTGTTACTATGGAGATGAGGGTGATATGTCAGTGGCTATTGGTCAAGCACATACATTTTGGAGCAATGGCAGCATACAGTGTGTCGAGGTGAAAATTAGTCAAAAAGGAAACATTAATTG